GATAGAAGCACACACATGGTAACACATGCTCTGAAAGGACAGACCTTGCTGAAAAAGTGACCACTGACACAAGTAAAAATACAATGACAATCCTAAAAGACATGTAAAAAAAAGTTCTCTCAGATAAATAAATTACATTTTATCTACAAGGGGGATTATATCCTCTTATTTTAAAGAAGAAGGATAAATGTTTGGTCATTCCACCTTGGATTTAGTTGGTTTTACATACAATATGTCTTTAAAATAGACTGGTACATATATATATATATATATATATATATATATATGCACAACCCACTCAAAATAAGTAACTCCTATTCTCAAAGGTAAGAGAGGAGATAAAATAATAAAGATCAACAATACATTTAATTTCCTACAATTATAGCTAAATATCCCAAACTCATTACAGTCAATGACAGATTGAAATTGCTAAAACATAGATTAAGGAACTATTAAAATTGCCATTAAAACATCAAAACAAAACAAAAATAAATAAGCTCTCCAAATCTTTTTCATCTAATCCTCTTGAAAATAATTAAAGCTTTCCTTTAGCTACTGGCTGGGAACTGTCAAATAGTCTTAAAAATATGGCCCATGATACTCAATGTTTCCTAAGTCTTTTTTTCACTCTAACAAACTGCTGCTTCTCCTCAATCTCTAAGGCTGCAGGCACCAGCTTTAATGGAAATATCCATCCCATGCTCTGACCTTGCACGTGGGCTCAGCAGGATCCTCAGGGACTGTGTGGGATCACTGCAGCTCCAGCAGGACCAGGGTGTCAGGTCAGAGTTACACAGGTTGGGGCAAAATTTGATCTTCGCTGTAGTAAAGTTGTAGTAGATCTGTGAAAGGAACACAGGTGGTCCTTAAATCAGTGTTTCTGTAGTATCTGTCCATGCCAGATCAAATGATCATGGGCTCTACCCACATCTGGACAATTTTACAATGACATTTAATCATTACTATTTATTAAATCATTAGTTGTTACTACTACTATATCAACAATTACTAATTCTTTAAGTATGTACCCTACTCAAGCAGTAATAAAGGTCACAACTTTGAAGTATATTTTACTATATTGAAGCCAGAAACCCACATTTCTGTTTGGGAAAAAAAGAAGTATTTTTCTTCTCGAACATATAACAGGTATGAATTTTCCCTGATCACAGTCATCCATACCCCTGTAACTGCTACCATACAATCATTTATTGGATGGTGTAATTTGATGGGATTGAGGAGAAGCATGCGCAGTGATTTGGGCCAAAACCAAGTTTTCAGTAATTTATTACTCAGGATTTTGAGACTGTATCAAAAGGACATTATTTCAATTTATTTTACAATTGCACTGCATTATCTGGTATTCTTAATAGATCATTTTCTAAATAGAACAGGTGGTTTTACTGCCAGCAAAATAAAGATGTCATATTGTCACATATAATTTTTAGAGGCAAAAAATGTACCACAGGGATAATCAGTCTCACCCTCCCATGATTCCACCTAAGCAGCTCGTGAAAGACTGTTGTGGCAACATCGCCAAATGTCTCTAGATATATAAATTACACACATATGCCTATTTTTTGTAAATGAGATTTGGGAATATCATTAGCAATTGCATGGTGGGAATATTTAGCTCGTTTCAGAGGTTGTACTGTACTTGCACTGTATGAGCATCCCCCAGCCCCAACACAAATGTGTCTGTATTTAATCAGTATCTGGATAACCACAATATTAATTTCCCTTTCACCTTAGGTGCTAGAAATATAGTTTTTATCTGTTTCTAAATGTTCTGTAGAACATCTAGTTCTTCCCCCAGTCTGCATAAATTTTTTTATAATCATGAAACACACCGCAGCCAGACACTTTGCCCTCCTTTTCTTTTCTTTATGCAACAGATTTAGGATTAATTTCCCCAATTTCACCCCAAACCAGGGCTAATTCCAGGATGAGGATGATAGTTTTACCCCAGATGTGTTGCTCTCAGGTGTGCACTCTCAGCTGGTGCCACCCCAGGCCATTCCTCCACTAAGTGCTCTGACAGCAAATGCCCCTCTCACTTTTTGTCCATACATCTGTAAGGATGAGTCATTAGGAAAATGCTCATCAATGTTTGCCATTATTTACAGTCCAACAAATCAATGTTTGCCATTGTTTACAGGCCAACATCAATCCCTATCAAACAACAGGGGCAGACCAGTCATGCTATGTAATTGATATGAACCACTCTGCCAAAATGCATATTCCATTATTGGCATGTCTTCCTGCCTAAACGCCAGAAAGCTCCATATATGAGTTCCTGTCACCTTGGAAACGTTCGGAAGGGAATTGCCAACTGTCTGTGGAAGCACAGTATGCAGCCATATAGCAGAGTGAACTGGCCAGCTCTGCTGCATTTCCAGCTGATCCTGAGATGGTACTGCAGAAACTTCACAGAAATGCCTCTGAATTTAACCTCATGGGAGCAAAACAGCAGGGGTTTAATTTGGATCTGTTCACTCCATTTCCCAGTTTCTCTGAGATGGATCGCTGGGGTCCAGAGCCCACAAAATCTGGAAGAACTGCATCAACCAAAGCCTTTTTTGTACATTTCCTGGAGCTTAAATATTAAAGATTCACTGGCTTTAAGTTGATAGATGTACATTGTAGATTGGGAGACAGGAACTTGGCTGGGGAGCCATAATTTCCTTCAGAGGAACTGCACATATCTTCTCCCTTCTCCTATCTATATGAGAGAGAAAAATCTACATTGTCTTTCCCTAAAAACACATTATTCACCTGACACAAAATCATGACCTTTTTTGATGTTGTTATGAAAATAATTCAAACAGTTGTAAACTGGGACTGAAAAAATACCCCGAATAAAAATATCACAAGAAACTGGCAATCAGTGATATTTCCAGGTGTTCTTCTGAGTGTTTTCTTGAGGGGAAAATCCATGCTTGGATCTTTTGCATCCCAACTCAAGGAGTGTGGGAACTGGCAGGTTCAGAGTTAAAATGGTTATAACTATTCCAGATCTGCAGAGAGAGCTATATAGTTAATCACTGCATATTTTTAGCCTACATCTTGTAGCTTTAATCCTGCAAATGTCTGTATGTAATTTGTTTTATGTAATATGAATAGATGCCATAAAATCAAGAGTCCACCATTTACAGCTAAGAATGTCCATGTATTTCTCAAGATTGAGGACCTAGAGCATGAATGTTGGGCAATGAACTGGTCACTGTAATTTCTACTCTATACTGTGTGCACCAGTGGAAATAAATGCTCAGATTAGCAGCATGTGCTTGTGTGCCTGGGATCAAAACCTGGACCTTACTCTTGTAGCAACAATAACAATTACAGAAATATTGCTTACAATTAAGGAACGTTTTCAACTAAATAAATCTGAGAATGCATCTGTCTCTGTGTACAGATCAGGGTGTATTTTAGTGTGGATGATGTCTCAGTATTTTAATAACTGAATCCCTGTGAATCTTTGAATAGCTGGGTTTCTCTAGCACATCATTGAGGCCTAGTGCCAAGAGTGAGGGAACAAGGATCTGCTTTGCTGTGGATCCAGCTGCACTGGCCCTTGACTTTGTCAAAGCAATACAAGGAATACAACAGAAAGGAAACCCAGTTAATTACCAATTTAGAGCTAAAATCATAGATTCATAAGATGGCCGGGTTGGAAGCAAACTCAAAGCTCACGCAGTTCCACCCCCTGCCATGGCAGGGGCACCTCCCACTATCCCAGGTTGCTCCAAGCCATGTCTGACCTGGCCTCGGACACTTCCAGGGACGGTTCAGCCTCATCTTCTCTGGGTGCTCTAAATCTGGTACCTGAACACTTGATATCAAACAGACAGGCTCACAAGATTCTGCTGCAGAACAGAATATTCAAACTGATTCACTTTATGAACACAGACATTCACTATGTAAATCACTGAAATATCATCTAAGGATTTTTCATGAAGTGACTTTGTGCATATTTATAACAATTAGAGAAGCTCATACAGAACCTCTAGAGCTGCAGTTGCTGCTTAAGCCAGAGGAATTGTTCAGAATGTGACATTATAAATGGTCAGTATGACAGGTACATGATTTCTGCTGTAATAACCTTTAATTAGTAACTAGTGGTGAAATCCTTTTGTCAGGATAGTACAGGCTTATTTCTGAAAAGCCATTTAAGACAGCTTCCTTTTGGATCGAAACTTGGAAACCTTCACTATTCTAACGTGTGCTCCAGCCCCAAATCCACAGGACTTCACATTGCAGCAAGTCATCTGAATTCACAAAAAGGGTTTTAATCATAATGCCACCAACTTGCTTAAAATTTATAAATGTATGAGAATATACACCAAGCTGAAAGTTCACTGAGAATGTCTCTGGCTTTGGTTACCTGAAACCGCCCGAACCAGATGTCCCACAAAGGCAGCACAGATAGAGGTGCTCCCACCAGGGTAATTACTGACACTAATATGATGGAATTATTAATGCTGCTGTATTTCCAAAGTGTAAATCATTCTTTTAAAGAACATGTCAAAAGCTCACTTGCCACCACACCCGGGCAGAAGCCGTGTCAGTGGCTCATATTTTAACTTACCTCTGAGAATAAGTAATTTAAACAATCCTGAAGTAGGTAAACACCCCAGTGAGGTGCTCAAGATGGCTCAAACCTCAAGAACTCAATTATTTGAACAACCGCCAGGACCCCGACCGAGGACTACGGTCCTCGGACACCAGACCCAGACCTAGGGACCCCGGCCCTCGGACACCAGACACCAGTCCACGGCTCTCGAACACCGGATATCAGTCTACGGCTCCCGGCCCAGCCTGGCCCGCACCACTCCGTGAGCGGGGGAGACCCAGCAACCAGCGCCGGCAGCGCCGCCCCGCGCCCGCGGCGGTTCGGGGGCAGTTCGCGGCCGTGTGTGCGCGGCACCCCCGCGCGCGGTGGTTGGCGCCGTTGCCGTGGCAGCGCGCCTGGCGGCCGAGTGAGGAGCTGGTCAGGGCCCTGAGCGCGGTCAGCTGTGAGAGAACGGTGCCGGGAGCACCGAGTCCGCCCCGGGGTGTCCTGTGGGAGGGCTCGGGCTCTCTGCCGGTACCTCAAACTCTGTTATTTGGGAGTTGGAGCCACACAACCTCACAACGCAGTGGTTTGGCTGAAAACGTTGGGGCCACTGCTGCATTGGCAGCTCGTTTGATGTTTGTGCAGCTTCTTAGTGCCACCAACATCCCTAAATCAGTAGCCCAGCGTAGGAATCCTGCTTGGCTCTAAGGTGGTTCATGTCGTTTACTCATTCTTCCATACTTAAATCCTGAGGTGTGTTTTCTCTGCTCCTTAACTGGAGAAAAATATATGTTCTGTTCTTGTTGCTTCTTCTTGAGTTCTGCGGAAGCATTTACATAAACGCAGTTTATGAGCCAGCTTCGTTAAAATTAATCATATGTACAAGTCTCTCTGTGAGTAAGATGTGAACTGCTCAACCATGTGGTAATAACTCATTCTAGATGACATGCAGAATTTACTGAAATCTAATAAATTGTAACAATGTTTGGGAACAGTTTGCTTTGCACTGGAGAACTCCACAAGACTGAAGAACAAATAGTGTTTGTTGGACTTGTGCCCAAATACTTTGGGGTAAAGTCATGGTATGAAGTGGATAAAATACATTCAGAAAGTTTATTACTGAGCTGATTGTTTTAAAAAAATAAAAATAGAGTCCTTGCTTTTCACTAAGACATTTATTCTAGTTGATATTCAAAATGTGTAACTAGCACAGAGGTATGGGGCTGTATCCAGTTATTTCACATGCATTAAGTATGTACTGAATGCTGTGAATTTACCTCCAGAGATAGTCACCACTATTGCAAGTTGTTGGACATTTGATATGTAAAATGTGTTCTTTTTAGTCAGCCTGGTCATTTGGAAAGAACTGTCAGCATGGAAGATCACGAGATCAGCTATAATGAGGGAGAACAGCAAATATCTCCTCTAGTGTTTCTAGAGGAGGAAGAAGAAAAACAAGAAGAGGAAGAAGTAGAAAGAGAAGAAGAGGAAGAAGAACAAAAAGAGGAAGAAGCAAGACGAGCAGAGGAAGAAAAAGAAGATGCAGCTGGTCAGCTTCCTAACATTGAAGAACACTGGCAAGGTGAAAATTAATTGTTTTGATAATTCACAAAAAAATGGCATTAATGCTAACTTAATGTAAGATAAACATATTAGATCATTGGCCAGAACCTAGCAATACATTATCCTCCCTTGTCTCTCTCCCTCTTCTTGTCTGTGATTTTCCCACATAAATGGGAAATTTTCCATTTATGTGGAAAATTCATGTCTTGGGGACACTTCCACATGAAGGCAGAGAGCATTCTTCTGTTCATTTGCAGGTGTATAATAGTCCTGTGTGTTTTGCCATATGAATTTTTTAATGTACACTGCAGTAATGTTATAAAATGTCATCTCTGATTCTCCATGCTGTGACTCGACAGCAAATATAGAAAGCTTTGCATTTTAAAATTCAAAGTCTCTTTATTAAGCTGTTGTTTCAATATCTGCTAGAATATGAGCTGGAAGAAGAGCTGGATGATGGTGGCAAGATGGAAAACAAGGACACTTCTGAAGATGTTGGAGACCAGTCTGATTCTAGCACGTAAATACCTTGTTCCAGTTCAAACAGAATTTCCTCTGTGGTGCTGAGTGACCAGCTGTGTATGATGTCTTAAACTAGTTTAAAACATTCCTGTTAAAATTGTAAACTATTGCTCAGGAAAACTAAAATTGCAAAGCCAAGGTGGGATCAAGAGGAGCCACAAACATTTTAAAACAAAGACACATCATTAGTGCTTTAAATGAGGGTATAAATGTTCAACATTAGCTATCCAATACTGAAAATGCAAACTTCCTGTGCTGTGTTCATGTTTCTCCTTATTTATGAAGGTCTTATTTGTAACAGTTCTGCTAGAATAAAACTGAAAGCAGGGATTTAAGGATATCAGACAAACTTCATATAATTACAGTTTTGCATTATGTTTCTTTGTTGGTTTTCTGTTCCAATTCAAAGGCAAAGCTCAGAACACTATTTGGCCAATATTGGTAACATTAGGCCTCTGAAGTCTGCAGACAGAATTCTCCTAACAGCCTTACAGAGAAACCTCCAGTTGCTTGATGACACGGTCAGGGAAAAGGAACTGGCAGTCCAAAAAACCAGGTTCGTGTTTAAGCAAACATAATCCATCAGCACAAATCACCAACAAATACTGAGATACCGTATCTGTCATAAATACTAGTGTTTCTAGAGCTGTGTATCTGATAGGAATCCTGGCTGTGAATCTTGCTTTCAAAAATAAGAGTTTCACTGGGAAGAGAAAAGAACCTACAAAACATAAATGATGTGTTTGTTTCTTGCAGTGACACGCTGAGTGCCTGTCGGCTGCAGAGCAAGATGCTGGCAAAGCAGCTGGATCTTGTAGACATGGAAATAGAGAGAGTGGAGGAGGCTGGCAATGTGTAGGTAGAAAGTATTTCTGGATACCAAGGATTACAGACATCCACTATATTCATTTTTTGTGTAATTAATGAGATAAGAGCAGAAAGGTGGAAATTTGGGAATGGGTAGGAAAGAGGCTTATATTTGAAAATGTAACAATGGGTATTAAATCAGCCTAGCTCACTGCTGTCAGTTATGTCTTTCTGGGTCTCAATCTTCTATTCAGTCTGATGAATCAAGATGCTGTGGCACTCCTGGAGGTCATAGCTTTGCTTCTGGTGATTACTTGGTCAGGGTTTATATGTATGTATATGTATATATTTTTTTAAATACACACATACATGAGCCATTCCTTTCTTGTGTTGTTCTGGAATACAGGAATGCCTTTCAGGAGCAGCTCTGCATACAGGAGCTGCTGCTCTGAAACACTTGTGGTACCAAGTGGGAGGCAATTTACTGTACTCTTCACATTTGGTTTAAATAGAAAGTAGTGGGTGGCTTGTGTACCGGGAGCCAGAGGCTTGTGAACAAACTTTGCAGCTGCATTTCTAGCCTGTGTTAATCTCCAGGTTAGAGCAGTGATGAATGAGAGAAAGGAAGACAGGTTAACTGCCAGAATGGGAGAGCTGCTTAAACAAAACTGATGGGTTGCACCACTCCTGAGGTAGTGCAAGTGGGATCTCAGAGACAGTAACAAATCCCAGCGAAGACAGAAAAGCAGTGTAATGTTTATCCATATGATGGCTCACATGGAGAGGTCTAGATATGGAAAAAATACAATTCTCCAAATCTCTTACATTTAGCAAGTGACTAGTGGAGTGAGAAAGCTTAATAAATTTCTGGCTTATGAAGTTCAAAGTCTTTATGTTTTAGCAATAATGCAAATCCTGGCTGCAATTAGCACTACCAATGCCAATACAGAAATGTTGAATTTAGAGGAGTAGCTGCAGGTAGGAGATCAATTTTCATTTAGAGGATGGGAGTTTGAATATAGTCAGGCCACTGTCTGTGGATCCTGTAGTACCTGTCTGCTAGTTTTCCTGGGGAGAGAAGAAAAATAACTGTGGGAATGCTGCAGTTGTAGGCTAAATATATGGAATACTGTAGTACCATTTAAAAAGCAAAATCGGTCTAGGTTCTCTAGGTTCACCTACATTTATCTTCATGAATAATACTACTTTTAACAGTTCGAGAAGTGAATAGTTGCATTAAGCTACTGGTCAGTGCTTTTGAAATTCTCATCTCTTCCTTTCAACCAGTGCATAAGAGTTTAAAGAAAGTTCTGCCTCAAGAATGGACACTTAAAAGGTTAAACAAGAGGCTGCATAAATTGCTGGGATTCTGATGAATAAATCTGAGCCTTAGAGCTGTGCTTTATTCTTGCTGATCTTGCAAGGGGGACTATGTTCATGCTTCTTTCTGATGGGTTCTCTCTAACATTGCCAGTGCAGCTGTGTCCCGCCTGCAAGCCATGAGCAGCCGATTGTTCACTGAACTGGAGAGAGAGAAGGAGCTGGAGCTGAGACTTGCTCTGATATTAAAACAAAACTTGTAAGTGAGGGAATGAAGAAAGTGTGAAGGGAATCAATCTTTATTACACTCTTCATATGCTGTTGGATGGATTCAAAGGTTAATCAATAGAGAAATTGCTTGTAAATACTGAGCTACATCATTCGAGAGCAACTTTTAGTCTGCATGGTTCATTCCTTACGAAGCTGGGTGTTGTGGCTCAGTCTGCAAGTTAGTTTTGCACATGTAAATAAAGTTTTAATTTTATTATGAGAGGTGCATAAATTTTGACCTAGACAGGTCTCATTTGAAATGTAAAATAAGCTGTACGAAAGTAAATCTGTCTGTGAATGAACATAAATACTTGTAATTTATGCCTCTTAGTGTTTTCATAGGATATAAAGGAAACGATGGAAAATGAGCATGGATGGAGACATTGTAACAGTACTGTGTATTTTTATGCTGAGCTAATATTGCTGCTTGTAATTGATTGCACAAAATACTTCTTTATATTAAATAGAGTAAAATTGTCTGTTGCAGGAGGCAACAGGTGAGTGTGTTTATATTTTGGTACCACAGGTACATCAAAGGAGGAACACAGGCACAAGCTTCTAGCTGTGATTAGCCAAGTGGTAAACCAGGATACAGTGTGTTCTGCTGCAATGTTGTGTAATAACTTTAAAATGCTTGACTTGTTTATTGTGTGATTAGCAATACTCAGTACAGATTAATGTACTCAGCTCTATCATATCTGGCTCCTTCAGCAGAGCACAGAAGAATTAAAGCTGTGGCCTGTCCCTGAAGTTATTTATTGTTGAAGAAAATGCTATTTTTAGAATTTTTCTTGGTTTTCATATTTTCTTCTAGATAAATGGGAGAAACACAAACTTGAGGTTTATTTTTTTTTACCTTTTTTTGACCAATATTTTTGATGTATTTGAAAGGGTTATGCCTTAAAGGGTTAGATATGAGCCTTAGTCTGGAACACCTGTGTCAATAAAAGGGTTTGATTCACAGTATGTTTTAAAATAATAAAAGGAAACATGGTTACATGTTTATTTTCCCCATAGAGCCTTTCCTATTCAATCTTATCACCTTAAAATGAAAGAATATCAGTATTCCAGTGAAAACAATTCACACTTTTTTTTAAAGGGTTGAGCTGTGGCAGATAGAAACTGAGCAGGGAAAATCCGACATCCTCTGTGAACAACTTAAAAAAGATGAGGAGGAGCTACAGATGCAATACCAGGAGGAGAGAGAAGTGAAGATTTGGAAGGAAAAAATAACAGCCCTGCAAGCAGAAGGAACACATCAGACTCGAGAGAAGTAAGATCCTCAAAGTCAGAGCCTGCTGCCTTTCTTGTTTTATTTTCAGCCAATTCTCTGCTGCAGGTGCTGAGATTAGCTAGTTCAAATACTGGTGCTACTGTGTGTTTTATCTGGGTGTGCTTAAGGAATATTTGATGAGGAAATGGAATTAAAATAAGAATTTGCCTCGGCCTTGCAGTTGTGATCTATGGGAATAAACTTGTTAATAAAAAACCTACAAATGCAGGCTTTTTTCCCATAGGAAATGAGGTATATTGGGTCAGACGAACTGCATATGTCTGCAATGCTTTTGGCCTCCAGGAGCTTCTGGACTTATGGTGAAGTCCACTGAGATTTCCTAGAGCAGAAACAGACACCAAAAAACATAAAAGTGCTCTTCAAAAGCAGAGCAAAAGTGTGTCAGTCTGGCTTTTGTGAAGTTTATCACTTTGTCTATAATATGGGGGATGTGGGGAACAAACAAATGTCCTAATTTCAGCACACATTAGTAAACTCCCCAACCCCACCCTGAGGTCTCATTGTATTGGAATCAAATTTTCCTTAGTCCTACTGCAACTGTTGGTTTGTCTGTGTTTTGCAGAAGAGAGGAGGAAGCCTGGAGAGAATGTGAAGAAAGAAATAAAAAACTTCTCAAGAATGCCAAAAGGAACCATGAGAAAGCAGTCTGCTTCCTGAGGCAAAGCATAGCAAGGTGGGGCTTCACACCTTTCCTGTTGAACATTCTCTGCTGGGCAAGAATTTATTGTCCAGTCTGTGGAAAATAATGATTTTTCTGCAAGGTGTGTCTTCTGTTGCACCTGGAAATCCTATGCCAGGTACAGTGTGGTGAAGCACTGAGATCTTATCGAGCACAAAAGGACATGGAAAGAAGAAAATCCACTCAGAGTCCTAGCATGGCCTCCAGATTCCCTGGAGTCTTTGTCCTAAGGGCTCTGACCACTTGGAGGCACTGATAATGATTTGAAGTGTTTTATATATGTGTGTATGTGTGTGTCATTAACTGAAGTAGTTTAACTAAAATCCAGGTTTGAAACCTGCCCTGTGCCATTCTATGTCCCCTCAGAAAAATAAGCATCAGTGGGTTGATGGGCCATTTCTTTGTGTTCCTGCTCTGGTTGATTTTAAATTAAATGTTCTTTCATGAGTTTATGTTATTACTCTGGTGTTGAATTATTGTGCTTCTGAAGAAACTGAACATTTATACTTATTTTTACATATATGCAAATATTAGGACTTAATTTTAAAATTACTGAAATGTACTGTTTCTGCACTGGTTTATTTTTATTAGATGTTGTGTACAAACTGATCATAATTAAGAAAAACAAAGTCAAATAGATTTTTTTTTCTTTACAAATGTATCAAACATATCAGTTTTTTTCCTGGTTTCCCATTATATTAGCTGGAATATTCCCAGATTTGATCCCTGCCCACATATTTCCATCTTGCAGAGTTTTTAGGGTTTACTTTTAGTGTGGGTGCATGTGCTTGGCTTGTAAAAGTTTGCTACATAAGGTTTAGATAGTGCTTATATGAGCAACACCTGAATTCTTTATGTTAGCAGTGAGTCATGTCATAACATGAAACACATTCTTCATATCCAAAATTGAAAAAAAAAATAAAGTTGTTGAGCAAAATATTTGAAAACCTGTTGGCACTTGGAGCTTGAGTGGTGCCGTGTTTGGAGGAGTCTCTGACTGTTCCCCTGTGCCCACAGTCAGTGCCCACCAAACGGGTTTACAGCAGCAATGCCTGGGGACATTGGTAATTACTCCTTGTCAGCTCAGACCTACTAATACCAAGAGCTTTCCAGGATGAGTGCCTGAAAGATTTTACTTTGCTTACAGAATTTGTGAAAAAAATGCAAAGGAAGAAGTGAAAGCTCAGGAGCATATGGAGAGAAGGATACAAGCTGTGCTTTCCCTGAAAACCAGCATCACTTCCAACAGGGTACTGCTGCTGGGCTGGGATGGGAATGAAGTCACTGACTTGGGAGGCTGCTGGGTTCTAGTGCAAGTCAGTTCAGTTTTTCTTCCAGAGCTGTGAAGTGATTTTTGATCAGATCAGTGACCAAACCCCTTGAAACAGGGGACAGTTTAACCGTTGGAGGGATGGCATGAGATCTGTGTGCGCAGGTTTTAACACTTCTGCTGATGCAGTTTATTCTGTCAACAGTCTAGTTGTTCTGTGAGGGGAACTCTCTGGGAAATAATGCATACTAAAAAAAATTCTCTGGAAGTTCAACCAGAAGGATTTCCAGTTATTTGGATCCCAGTGCAGAAATATTCCACATGGAGAAAACATATGGAAGAAAAACAGTTATTTGAGAATTTAAATAGTATAAATTAGGAATTTCTGAGCTATGCTGCTTTGCTTTTTTATTTATGTTCTGTAGAATCTGAGGGAATGATCTTAATTTAATCTGGATTTGATTAGAACTGTTATCTTTCCACATTCCTTCACTAAGCAGCATTTCAGGGGCAGGCTGGAAGGGTAGAGAAGTACCCTGGACCTAGTCAGAGCTTTCTGCATTTCAGCACCCCATGACTACAGAGAATATTACAGACAATACCTTCTGCTTCAGAGACATCCACCATAAATGTATACTTGGATAAGGGGACCGGCATTACATTCTCTGTTTTATATTCTTTAATATGTGAATCAAATATGTAACTGGTTTGTGTGACTTCCATAGGAAAGGCTCCAAAGTCTCCAGATTTTGAACAAAGCAAAGGCCTTGGAAGCAAAGAAGGAGGAGATGAAAATGAGGGAGGCCATCCTAGCAGAAGGAGGCAATGTTATCAGGGAAATTTTTCTCCATAAACAACAGCAAGAACATGAAAAAAATAAAGAGTGAGTATCATATCCATATCAAACTCTGCCTGCTCCCTGGAGCTCAGTCAGATCCTGAAGGCAGAACATCTCTGATGCTGCCTGGAAGGAGTGAACTCCCTCTCCCACTGTGTGTGTGACACTTGCACAGTCTGTTCTTGGTGCCCTGAACTCCTGCCTTAGGGATGCTCAGAGCACCAGAGCTCCCTGGGTGTTCCGTGATCAATTCCTCCAGGAGTGGAGTTCAATGACCCTGAACTGGAAACCTGAAGTAACTGTCCTCCTCTGAACACTAAGTCTATATCAGCCTTCTAAAACACTGTAACTGAGTATATTTAGTATGCAAAAGTGTTTAAACAGCCTCTGAATCACTTGATGTCTTGGCACAAATTACCATTGTGCCCAACCTAAAGACTTGCTATTTAGCTAAAAGGCTCCAAGGGAGCTGAGTTGTAGTTAATATTATTGGTAAATAACTGTGGTTGGGTTAATATTTAATATAATTTTGGGTTACAGAGCTTTTAGAGAACTGCAGAAGTCAAGAAAAATGGAGATTGTGTCTCAGATTTTGCACGAAAGAGCTTCTATTCACAAGCAGAGAAAAAGTCGGTCCCCTACTAAGGCAATTATGGCTCATGGTAAACTTGAGGATCCTTTCCTGCAGAGGGGGGAAGCCTGGCAAAGTGAGGAGGCCTGCAAACATGCAGATGGGGAAATATCACAGGTAATCAAAGGCCTCAGAATTATTCTCTTTAGATTGTTTGGGGTTTTTTTGTTGAACATGCAGGTCATTAAATTCTGTTTAAAAATAGCACAGGCTACAACTAAACATGAGACAGTAGAGAACAAGTGGACAGTAATTTCCCCATCAGATCTCTTAATATCTGTTAGTTTCCTTTTTCTCAAAGGAGATATAGTGACTTTTAACACAAGATTTTGTCTGTATTCAGTGTTTTAAAAGGTCTAAGTTGGCATCTTTGGCCTCTGCGCCCAAAGCCAAGAGGCCAGAAGGCCAAAGACCTGTCATTTTTGTGTTAAAAGTTCTCCTCAGAAACTTACAGCTGTTAAAGTAACTGTTCTCTAGTCATTCTTAGCTGTATCTTCAAAACCTGTGTTCTTTCATCGAAGTCGTGGCACTCTCCATCAGTTTGTTCCTTGGCTGGGGAGGAAACTGCTCCCCAAGAAGAGAGTTCTGAGAACAGACCCCAGCATGTGCTGTGGGAAAGTGGTGATGAGGACAGAGAGAGGGACAAGACGCTCCTGGTACCAGAGTTCCCAGGACTTTGGAGTCAGGAATATGACTTGCACGAGGTAAATGTTGTGATATCTCTTGTTAGAAACAGAAAAGAACCTTGCTTGATACCAACAATTGTGTATTTTGCAGTTAAAATGCAGACATTATGTTATTACATAGATGCAGAAATTCAGATGTGAGAATATCATCAGTCATTGCTTTTTGACACTGGTCTGGAGGAGAGAAAACAGTACTTCAGGTTTAGTTCAGAAATCTGTGAAGACATAAATCACATTATGTTTAATTGTTTGAGTTTAAGAAAACTTCAGAATAGATCAAAAAAAGTCATATCAGTACATATTCCTAGATTAGCAGAGAAGCACTGGACCATGACTGAAACATTCCAGTGAAGTCAGCTGATATTTTTTTTCTCAAGTTTAATAAGCTGAGGGGGAAAGAAACCCTTAAAGTGCAAAGAAGTTAATTCTGCCATGAAAAGCATGATGATGTAGTATTGGGTGATGATAAACTGCAGAATAGATAGCTAAGAATCCATTGAATTCTTCATATTGAGGTTGGATGCTGAGTTTGACTGGAAAGAGCCAGAAAAAAGCTGGCCAGGTGCTGGAAGATTCCTTTTGCAATCTTTCTACTGTAGCTGCAGATTCTGTGATCCCACACAGAATGTTTTTTCCACACAGGTGTTTTTTCTGCATGTTGCTTTTTAGGTGCCCAAAGCAGAAGATCCAATACAGTTGGCTATAAGGGCAATGATGAAACAAATAGCTGAGAAAAAAACAGAGAAACTCCAAACTGGAATTCTTCATAAGCAAACTGTGCCTGGCCAGGAACATAAGAGCTGTGCTTTCCACAGCAAACCCAGCTGCATTCATTTCAAGGTCAGTGGCCATTCTGCGTGGAAATGTAGAGAGGTATCTGCTGGAGGTATATCCCTATAGATCAATATTCTGTTGCAGCCTTTAATAGGTCTGTAATGAAATTTGAAACAGCTCTTGCCTTTTTCTCTAACAATCTCTTAGTTAAATGATAGATTAAATAAACTAGTTATTTTTACTGTCTAAATTATAAAATATTTCCTTTTCTTAGTGGAGTTTAAATACTGTGAGAAAGGTGAGCAGATGATGAGCTCCTTTTGGACTGTGTTGTGTGTTTTTTGAATGGCAGTATTCTAGTACTTGTATATTGTTTGTAAATACATTATTACTGTAAAATAATGTTCTTAAAGAAGTGGTGAGTCCCATGCAGGTAAATTACATTTAGTCAACAATACTGTTAATAACTCACTTACACCATGAGCATGATATCCTGTCTCTGACATTCACCTGGTATGTTTGGCATTCCAAGGATTTTGATGTTGGTCAAATCTACAAAAAGAAGATAGTTTTGACAAATGCATCCTACAGTGCTAATTACTGCAGGCTGGTGGGAATCAGTGAATGCCTCAAGGACATCATTAGTGTTCAGTAAGTAAATTAACTGCAGTCTTGTTTTACCTTTGTACCACAAAAGCTGGAACTCAATTCTGTATCAACTGAATTTTCTGCTTGTCGTGGATTAACCCTGCAGGCAGAGAAACTCCACAGGGCAGCTCCTCAATCCCTCCTGAGTGGGATGGGGGAGAAAACTGGGGGGGAAGAAACATCAAACTTATGGCTTGAGATAAACACAGCTTAATTGGACAGAAAAGGAAGAGAAAAAAGCTGATGAAATAAAGGAAATCAATCTCAGAGCAAAGAGCACCTAAATTGCAGTCCTGTGGTCTTTCCCATCAATCTATTCCTGTAATTCTGCTGCCAGGTTATGTAATGAAGCACTGTGTCTTCATTATGGGAGATATGTTTTCAGTTGGGAGATTACAAATTAATCTCATTTTAACTACATTGATAATTTTATCTCACTGCTTATAAGTAAACAAAAGGAGGTATCCACAAAATGTTTCTTTTTAAGAATCCAGATACCACCTCTCTCTGGAGCTGGACTGAGCCTTTAGGTAAATAAAAGGCAAGTTGTGAAAAGTAGTATTTCTTAAAAAAATTAAGTCAGGAAAAGAATTTATTTACCTGGAATTCTGTGAAACAAACAAAAAAAATTATTGTAGTCTAGCCTAAAAGTGAAAAAAATGCTAAAGCTCCTGTGTGTAAGTGAAGCTTATGGACAGATAGGAGACATGAAGGTGAATTCATTTGTCTTTTGGAGAAAGTTCAGGTTTCAACCCTTATGCTGACCTGGAGAAGCCACCTGTGGGACAGTTTAATGACACCACAGTGAATAAACAAGTTATTTCATCACTGTAAGTGATTTCATACTCCAGAGTTCCTTTCCCAGCTCACTGTCCACTGTCTTTGTGGGGATAAACCGCACATGGAATTTCTGGATCATCTGATACGGACAGGATGGTCCAAGGTGAAGCCATTCCTTGAACACTTTGCCCCCACAAGAGTCCCCAGGAATGTGAACAGAGAGTTCTTGACTAAACAACATCTCTGGAGAGCTGTAAAGTCTGAATCCAGCTGATGTGGGTGGATTAGGAAAGGTGTGGAGCACTTCATTCCCAGCCTGATGGAGGTGGATAATTGAGCAGGACACAGCAGAACCCTTCAGCTACTAAACCTGCTTTGGTGCTTGACTCCATGTGTAGCTCCTGATTGGATCAAAATCACATGTGTGGATTTATTTTTGACCCACTTACACATGTTTAATTTCTGTGACAAAGCCTGAAGCTAATAATCTGACAAAATGAGGGTTTTCTGCTGTCAAAGATTGATTTTTTTTCTTCTCATTTAATATGTTGGACACTTCCATATGATAAATCAGCACCTCTGGTTTGTGACCATAAATTAAACAATGGTTTTTGAAAGCCATAAGTCTTTCCTTGTTATAATTGCCTTTCAAAGTACCCTCCAAATACAAATGAAAGATCAAGAATTGTGAATGATTTTTCAGTGTCTGATAAATTAATTAACCTTTTGAAAATTAAATTTCTTCCCCATACATTTGCCAGATGGATAGCTAGCAAAAATAATCCAAGATTTTTTTCTCAATTGTCATGTTAAGCAATAATTTGACCAGCAGAGCACAGACCTGTGTACACTGATCCTACACTGTATAAAGTTTATTTCAGGTAGAACCAGACATAAATTGTTTATTACAAAATAGTTTTGCCAAGTATTTTGAAAATACCCAGCACATCTACACTGTCATGGTGCACTGTCCTTGGAATCAGTGCACAGGTATTTAGAGACATAATACTTGAGAGCTGTTATCAGTGGCAAGCCCTGTATTTGCTGCTAAAAAGCTTTATTCTAGTGGTTAAAATGAGCATTATTACATTCCATGCAATGGAACCTCTCCTTAGCAGAGTGGTTCTGCGTGGGTTTGTGTGTTTGGCAGTTTGTGTTCTAAATCAGAACTATTTTGTCAAAGTAACAGTTGAAATAACTATTCCTTAAAGTCATTCTCAGGAGAAGCTGCCAGGGACCTGTTCAGAGGGTTAGGACGCAGGTGCTTATTCCTTGTCCACATTTTAAGCTCATGAATTCAGAAATGTTTCCCATTCTGAAAATGTTTCATTTTGGTTTGGTTTGAGTTTAATTTTGTTTTGATAAAACTGTGAAGGGCAAATGTGTTCTGTGTCTCATTTGGCTTAGGGGCTCCCATGGCTGACAACACTTCCTTATCTCCTCTGCCTCTTCTGCCAGGCAGAGCAGGGCTCCAGGAGTGCCTCAATAATTTCATTTACAATGCAGCTGTGAGATGCCTTTTCTTCTCATGGGCATTTTCCCTGCCTCACACAGACCATGAAATGAGTGGCAGATTCTATTCAAGATAATTTTGATACAACTGGAAACAAGTAGCACTTTCTGTAATCATTTGCATGTCCCTACTTGGGTTTTTCGTCTTCATTTTGTGTTTGGACAGGGGAGATGTTACAGAGCAACATTAAAATGGATAATGGGAGAAGTTGCTTCCTAATTGTCTGACAGGGCAATTCCACCTTGCTGATTTTGAGCCTCAGCTTCACCTCTTTGGCTACAGTGCCTGTCTTGCCTTTTAAAAACAATTTTAAAAACAATTTATTCTTTCTGAATAAAACCTTATTAAAGAATCAGCCTTGGTTGTTTCCCAGTTGCAGTAGGGTTCTGTAGCCTTTCATTAATCTGTCATTCATTCTGACTTTTCTGATAATTAGTCCAAGTGAGGGAAAAAAAAATAATCTGCTATTGTTACCAGAGCAGGAGCTGGGTGTTCCATCCACAGCTTTAATTTGGAATTTTATGTTATCTCCATAGTTTTGACCCACCTGGCAAAATGTCTTCTGGGATGTCCTGTGAATTCCTAGTAACATTTAAGCCAATGGTAAGTGTACAGTGAAGAGAATCCTAGTATAGGCCACTAGTCTGATTAAAACCATCATTAACTGAATTTCTTAACTGTTAACAAGGAAAAAAAACCTACGTTTTTAGAAGAGCTACTGTTGTATATGGACAGCAGTGTGCATGGTCAAGCTCTGATAAATTGTCATAACGCAAATTCTGAGGGCACATTTGGAAAAATGCCTCCAAATGAGAGCAAGTTTCCAAATATTTATAATCTTGCCCAACTAAAGTTAACCAGGCTGTCACAAAGACTGTTTTAAAGTGGAAACATAGAATCAGTAAAGATACATTTTAATATGATACTCCAAGAATGAGTGAAAATATTTTTTATCAGACTACATAGGCTAAATCTTCTGAAATTACTTAGGGTTTTTTTCTGTTTTGGTTTCTAGATAAATGAAGGACTGGAAGGAGCAGTCATATTTATGGCCCAGACAGGTTCTTTTTCTGTTCCACTGAAATGTACAGTCAAGACCTGCACTGTAAGGGACCTCTTTTAAGCATGTGGATAATATAATTATTATTATAAAAAGCGGATGCTCATTTAATTGACATTAGTGCTATGTAGGCCAGTGATAATTAATGGTTTATCTTCTCACAGCTGGCTCTGGATAAAGAGCTCATTGACTTTGGCAGCCTTGTGGTGGGAGAGACAATTTCACGGACCATCAGCCTGACAAACAGCGGGGCTTTGGGAACCAGATTCAAAGTTCAGACGTCAGCAGGTGCTACAAGTACCCTCAGAGCAACAGTAAAAGCTGCTCCTGCAAGAGTGGTGGGTTCAAAAGCACTTCCCTAAAGGAGTAGAAATGTTCTGCTTTGGGAAGTGTGGTGGAGTTATGCAGAGTCACAAAGCAGCTCAGGTCAGAAAGGCCTTGGGAAGATCATCTGGTCCAACCTTTGGTACATTTGGGTCAGTACAAATATAATCTGTTAGAACCAAATATTGGAAGATAAAAGCAATTATTTTGTGAGAAGTGGGGAAACCAACAATACTCATTTTTTAAGTACTTTAGTAATTTAGGTCATGATTCCTATTTTCTCCACATTCATGACAATTAGAAGAAAATAGTTCAGTTAATAGAGGAGATTCTGACAGAGTCATTAAAAATCTTAACTTGTGGAGGGCAGAAACATGTGAACTGGTGCAAAACTCGCAATGAAGTGAGGGATGTGATAAAAAGAAGGCTGGTTTCACCAGAATTAATTTTGACATAGAGCTGACTGGGTTTCTACTAGAAGAATGTTGGTTCTGTTCATTGTAAAGTAACTGGCACTGCACTGCATTGCTCCTGTTATATTATTTACCTGTTTGGGGCAGCCAGCAAAAAACTCAATCTGCTCATTGATAAAGGTCTTGTAGAATGTGCAATTCTTGGAAAGTGCAGCACATTTCTCCATTTATAACGTGGAACTGTTGCAGGAAAACACAAGTCTGATTTGCATAAAACTTCTGCTGGATAGAACTGGAGCTGGTACAAGGCAGAGGAAAAAATCCATTGGGAGAAAATCTATCTCTGTGTTTCCTAATAGGTCACTCAACATCCCAGTGCCCATGACCCTGAAGAGGAGGGCATGAGTCCTGTGGCAGCTGGAGATCCAAACGAGCAGATTTGTGCTGGGCCCAGGGAGGGGGTGACCCTCTGTGCAGCTCAGGAGCCCAAGAGCAGCAGTTCCATGGGTGAGGTGATGCTTTGGAACCTGGCCCTGCACTTCCTCAGGCCAAGTTTTATACAGCTGTAGTCTTCTGTAAATAAATGAGCAATTCGGTTTGCAAAGTTACTCAGTAAATTCATCACTCCAGGAGTAATGTTATATTTCTTTGCATGATGTCTCACAGAAGATTGCTAAAAATAATGTCTTGACACCATTATATCAAAAGTAGCAGAGAACCTCACTGCTCATTAGTGATCAACAATTCAGTTTCAGAAGAACACAAAACCCAACCAGCTTCAGAAATTGCAAAATTGTTAACATCATCCTTGTCTCAGCAACTGAATCCCCACTTCTCAAAATAGCAATCCACATGACAGGTTTATTTTTATAGTCTGTAATTCTAAGAACTAGGAAGCATGAAGATGAACCTCCTCAGACACTTTCCATCTCATTCCTAATGTTTACTATGTGCTTAATAAAATCCAGTCTTGTAGAAGAAAGACTTTCTTAATTTGTTTCTTAACTATATTCTTTAACATTTCTTCCCAGTATTGATCATTCCAATTTCAGGAAGCTGACAGTTCCATGCAAAGTGGTTCCATGTGGGTGGTTTTTGCAGGTCCTTCTGGCTGCTTTCCTATATCCCTATATTCCTATATCCCTGAAATTGCTCTTGAAGGTCATCCCCTCTTCCAGCTGAGTCTGTATTTTTGAACCATTCATATTGTTACTTAGCAGTGGAAAGCTCAGGTGCCTCAGGTAGAATTCCAAACTTGACTAAAGCTGGGTGGCTAAACAAATATTTCCTTCCACGCATTCCAATTTTCCCATCACTGCTATACATGCTTGGATTTGCAATATTGACTCAAAGTAATGTGCTTGTGCTTTGTTGGATATTTTTTCGATGGACACATTCAGCATTTTGTTTTGTTTTGTGTTTGTTTCTTTCCCCAGAGCAACTTGGTCAAGGAGAACTAAATACCAGATCAGATCTGGACACAGATAATGCAGATAATTTATTGGAGTTTTTTCCTGAAGAAATACCAATTGAAATTATGCTTGGAAAGGTAATGAATGCTCTGAGATCCAGACAAGATTTCCTTGGTCTAAGCCTACATCAGATAAATTGCTGTGGTGAGAAATGGTCAAGTATACATGGTCATTCCAAGTCAACTAGACATCACTGTATCACAGTTAATTCTTAAAATGAAATCACAGCACACTATTCCCCTTTCTCTTGATCTATACAGACATACAGTGCTGAAAGATTCTGTGTACATTCACATTCTCCACAATTTAACTCTTTTTTCTGCTATATGATTCAGTGGTTAAACAAAGTCTGGTGACAGCACACAAGGAGGGGCAAGAAGAATATCTGGGAAATGTCAAATTTGAGCCCTATTATTGTTCTGATTCGGATTTTTCCTGTGCATAGTGAGTTCAATTCAATTACCAGGTGTAGTAGACTGTGCATGTATCATTATGTACAGCCTCTTTATTTCAATGCAATTTCTAGAGTTTCTTTGTTGTTGCTCAGGTGACTGAGGGTGAGATTGGACCCTTCAGCTTAGTGAAAATCCCAGTCCTGTTTGTTCCAGCTGTCCCTGGGGATGTGAGGGCAGAGTTTGTGATCGTGTTTGACAACCCAAACTGCAAACCAGTGAGTGACCTGCTTCAAAACTTGTGTAAAATAGTTTAAAATCTTCTCATTTGTGCTTTTCTCAAGAATGATGTATTAGGTAATTTGATGGGAGGTAGTTTAGTAAGTCATAGCTCTTATTTCTGATGCAGGATGTTTGTTAAACCTGCTCATTCTCTTAATTTCTATGCAAATAATACCAATATTCCCATTTTATTAGACATCATATTAAAAAATATCTCATGTCCTGGAAGCCTATGTGGAAGTATTCTCCCTTATTCCCAGTTCACACAGTTTATTTCCTTTCTGATCTATCAGAATTGGAATTATTTAGCAGGCAGTAGTGAAGCTGATATGTGAAAGCTGGAAGAGATGACAACTTTAGTTACCACTTCATCATATTGTGATTATAAATTTTATTGGAAGCCAAATTCTGCTTGGAACAGTCCACAGAAGCTTGCCAAAAAATAAAGACAAACTTCCCAGAAGCTCGGCAGCCAGTCTTGGCAGTCCCTCGGGCTGCAGAAGGAGCTGCAGATACCTGCTGAGGCTCCTGTGGGCACCTTCTCCACCACTCTCTCCCCAGGAGAGGAGGGCTTTGCCGGGCTCCGTGGGCCCTGGTGCCAGACCCAGGTTACTGCAGGGAGCACAGCCCTGTGCTGCCTTCCCTGCATTTCTGTGCTGGCTGAATGAGCTGCAGCTCCAGGGGACCCTGGATTTCAGCCCATTCACTTCAGCTAAAGGCACTTTAAATACTTCTTTTCAATATCATGGGCAGATGTTCTTCCTTCAAGTTCCCTGTCAAAGAATCCATCCCAAAGTATAATTATGTTTTTCTGCTGGAGCACTGTAACATCTTGGGTTTACTTTGCAAATGATTTTCCTAGGTCTGCTTCATGAAAAAACCTGTTGCACCACAAATAATAAAATATTTTACTCTGCTGAATTTATAGCAGAAATTCTTGCTGTAAGTCAGTAAGAATATGAGACTGACAAAACTAATCCCCTGTCATTGCTGCCCTGCCAGCTGAGCTTCAGTGCCATTGGAGTTTCTGTAGATGTGCCCATCTGGGTTCCCCAGCCCAGCGTGGACCTCAGAATCTGCCTGTATGAGCGGCTGTACCAGGACAGCGTTGAGGTGTGTAGCAGGTGAGCTGCCCTGGGGCTGCCTCTGGCCTTGGCACTGCAGGGGCACATCCTGAAAGCCTCTGAGCTCTGGAAATTGGTCTTGGGCATCCTGTTATCCCAAAATCCTAACCCCAGCCTGAGCTATGAGGTATCCACAACCCTCCCCACTCCTGCCAGATTCCCTGGGTTGTTCCTGTTCTTTGGGGGAGCTATGAAGCTCCTAGGGAATAGCAATCCCACAGTTTCCTCATGTGGAATTTGCACACTAAACATTTAGGGAGATAAATGTGTCTAAAATTAAGTGCACATTGGGTCAATTCAACCAGGAAATTTTGTTGTTTCTCAGCTATTTTGTATTCAATTAAAGTCCTGGGGGGACCTAGGATCTGGAAGCCAGTTTCATGAGAGTCTTTCCAGACCTGGGATTAGATGCTGGATAAATCATTTCAGTCCTTCTGCATTCACTCTAAAATGGGAAAAGTGCAGTTCTGCTGACCCATGGAGGCATTAAGGTCTCCACTGAAAGGACAGGTCCCTCTGACTACACAGAGAGTGACCAGACAGTGATTGTCAGGGGAAAAATATCTGGGTGTTTAAAAGTCAAGTCAGTCATGTCTCAAGACTGGTTCTGTTTGCACTGTGATATAAAGGGAATTTTCCAGCTCCTTGGCTTCTGGAGATTTCCTGCTATTAAAAGTAGTTATGAGAACATTTAATTGTCTTCAGGTGCTGGGTGTTTTCCCTCCACCTAATGCAGTCACTATGGAGTTCTTATTTTAACAATTTGCATTTCTTAGAGTCTATTTCAATAGGATTGGGGTGGGTTAGTGGGAGGGTGGAGGAGAGATTGGTTATGTGGAAGCATCCATTCTAAACCTCTTACCAGAATTACAGACTGCAGAGATTCTTCACAGTTGGAAAGAAATGAGTAAAACTGTTATCTCAGAAATTCAGCTTACAGATATGACAAGCACAAGTTGTTATGCAAGTGATTTTACTTGGTCTAGATAACCCAGGGATAAGTATAGAAGCAGAATAACTCTCCTAACAAAACTTAAGAGTTCAAGGGGATCCCAAAGGTAGAAGCTGTCAAATTGCTTAGGGCAAAACTTCTTAACTGAGGGAAAAATCCTGTTGATCCTTTGCCAAGTTTCACTAAATTAAGAGCACTTAGTATGTAGTAGCCTGTCCTTAGTGCTTTGGCAATTCAAGGCTTTGATTTACCACCCAGTTTCCATAATTAGGAAAAATTGCCTGTTATACAGTCAGGTGGGCTGAAATTCAGTGTATTTCATGTGCAGAAATACCATGTATTAACTTTTTATCCTGCAAAAGTCGATAGATTTCATCATTCTGTTGTGGCCTGAGCAGTTCCTCCCTCCAGGAGCTCCTGACACGTCCCTTGGTGTATCAGGAGGAGGATTCCTCCTGGAGACTGCCTGTATCCACTGGCTGTGACTTGTAGGCTATAGCACAAGGGGAACATAAAGTTTCCAAGTGAGTCAGATACCTCTGGAACTGGAATGTCCCAGCAAGCCCTGGTGAATTGTAAAATATTGCTAATACTGGTTTTGTTCTGGGTTTTAGTTGTTTGATTTTTTTCTGGTCATGAAGACCCTGGTAATCAGGCAGCATAAATAAGCAGCATAAAGGGTCTAAAAGTGTCTTATCAGAATTGTGTTCAATAGAAAGCATTTTGAAAAGTAATTTATTTGGCAGGTTATAATCTGCACTGATTTAATGAAGTAGTATATAATTCTCTTAGATTGTCAACAGTCAGAAATCATTGCAGGCTCCCAGCCCCACTTGCTGTAGCTGTTGATTTAGAGGAGACCATCTGGCCTGACAGCTTTGAAACCAATCCAGGGGAAGGAGAATGACAAGCTGAAATATTTGTAAATTGCTCGGCAATTTTGCACTTAGGCATAAAATTCCAAAGCAGGGGATGATCCATGGCTATTGCTGTGCTATGATACGGCCAGAATTCAGTAAACAGGCAGAGGATTCCTGGCTTCCAATGTGCCATTCCCAGAGCAAATTGATTCCAAGATTTAGCAGAAGAGCTGGCAGGACCAACTCAGCCATGCTGTGACTTGCAGCCCTGCAGAATCTCTGCTGGTGGAGGACAGGTTACATCTGTTTAAAGAAATCACCAGGCTTCAGTCATCCTATTGATCCAGATAGAGCCAGCATATGTTAGGAGCAAATAATCATCTGATATTTCACAATAGCTTGGCTTTGACTGCCCCTGACCTGACTTAGCACTGTGCTGAGTTCTGACAGTTCTCTTTGAATCAGCTGGTGCACTGTTTGCTACAGCAGGGTTTGTTACAGAACTTCCAAGTCTTGTTTTCTGTACTTAAGAGAACACAACTGTGTGAACTTGCTGCAGCAGATTTCCCTGCCTATCATTTTCAAATGAAACTTGGGATTGTTCTGATTACAATGCAGGGGTGGGGGCAGGAGGGCTCAGACTCCAGAGTCACTGAAGTGGCCTCAAAGCCACCCAAGCATGTCTGATGTATTTGCAGAGCAACAACCAAGCTGCGTTTGAAGTTTGAGGTGTGCAGAGAATTGAGCAAGCACATGGAACTGCTTCCAAAATCAGGCTACATCCAGGCTCAGTCATCCTTCAGTGCACGGCTCAAATTCCTGCCCAGGTAACCAACATTAATCCAACTCTAATCTTTCAGGATTTCACACAGTGTCAGTGGAAAAGCTGAGCAGGGTTGCTGTTTCCTCCTGCTGTCCAGGCTGGACCTCACAGTGCTGCTGCACTGCAGGTCTGGTCTCCCCCCTGTCCCCCTGGAAGCTGCCAGATGCTCCAGGAGGAAATGAACTTGGCTGCCAGGGCTGTGAGGCAATGCCCTACCTGTGGTGACAGCAGCACAGTGACAGTCTGAGCTCTCGTATTCCTGGGAGGCTGCTCCCGTTCTGTGGGAAGCTATTGTCCAGGAGGGAGGTTATTGAGGCAGGTGGCAGCTTCATGGATCACTGATTGAATAATTTCTGGACAAGAACTCCTGTGTTTGCTAATTTAGGTGAGAGTGGTTGGGCTTCCTGTCCATGTCTCTCCTCCCCAGGTACATTTTTCTTGAAATGATGATGGTTTTGATAATGAATTTCATATTGTGTTTTATGTTACATCTCCTGATGCTAAAAGCTTTATCCCAGCAAGATTTGCTTCTCCATTTTATGAAACATCTACAAATACAAACATAGCTCAGTGATAGGAAACAATCCCAGTTTCTAAAATTTAAATAACAGAGCTCCCATCAGCCACTGTTCATTTTATTTACCTCATCATTGCCATCCTATAGAATTTAGCAGGACATGGTTTTCAAAAAATAATGGCATATGGAATTCATTTTGATGTACAGCCAAATACTTCAGTGTCTTTGGCTTTGACTGCTGCTGCAAACCTGCTGCTTCTTTGATATGGATTTTTAGTCCCATGGATTTGTGTTTGGATTCTCACAGATGTGCTCAGCACCTCTGGATTCTACCCTGATTTCAAAATTTTCACCAGGTTGGTATTCAAAGAACTAAATGTATTTACAATTCTTGCAGCATCTCAAATCCCATCAGATTACGACAGTAACATGATGACATATTCTATCCCTGAACTTCAGCTGCTGCAAAGCACCGCTACCCTCTCCAAGGGGATGAAAGCAGAGCTTGGATTTAGAACCTTAATCTTCCTTTAAAAAACAGGGAAGCTTCAGCAAGGAGATTTGATGAAAATAAGGCATTTCTGACACACAAAATAAGTATCTGGCTGTTTCAGGGTATGGATCAGTTTTAAAGACCTAATGCAGGGGGCAGTGCTGGGAGTTGAGGGGAAGCACTGAGCCAGTGACACATTTCTGTGAAGGCCTCTCAGTGAGCTGGCATTAGGAGCTCTATTAATAGAGCAGCTGTGTTACAAGTGACACCAAAGGGAAAGGAACCCCTCACTCAGCAATGCTGAGGGAGCAGGGAGCTGCCTGAAGGCTTGTGAAGTTCTCCCAGGTGTTCTGTGCACAGAGACGTGCTTGGGCAGGTGTTCCAAAATCCAGCTTCTGAGAGTTTAAAGCCAACATTTCCAGTTTAGTTGAAAGCACATTCTCTACTCTGCTGCCTTTTACCATTCCCAAACACCATTTTCTGTAGTTCCCTGCATTTGGAACTAGTCCTGCTCATACTGGCAGTCTAAGTCTGATTTGTCTTTTTGTGCTTCTCTAACTGTGCCATATTCAGAGAACTTTCTGAAGGACTCCAGGACTTTTTCCCCAATGTAATTTAGAGTCCATCCCCATGTCCATAGAGTTACAAGTGTTTTCTTCCCCCTCTGGATTATTATGAAATAGATTAATTTTTTTTGCTATTCAGATGTCCTGTGACAAAGTGAAAGCTGATGCTCTGCTCCTCCCTTCCACTTAACCTCAGTTCTATGTGTAAAGAAATTCCCAACACTTTTCAACATCACTCTTACAGCAAAATAACAGCAAGATTTTGGATCACCACGGTGACTGAGTGACTTTAACAATACATTGAAGAGTTGCATGCAATTCCATGAGTAGTAGTAGAACATGAGCACTGTGGAGATCCAAGAACAGGAAGCAACTCACTCTGGTGCTCTGAGATATAAATAGAGCAGCAGAGCTAAAAATACTCCAGGTTTGTATTGTCTTGGCTTGAAGCTCTGGAATAGAACTTGTGACAGCAAAATGCTTCACCTAGAGAAAACCTGCATATTCCTTATAAATTCCCAGTCTGGTTGGTAATCAGACACTGCTGGGCTCAGGTTTGTTCACTTTATGTCTCTGCTTTGGGATACAAACTGGTTCTGCCTCAGGCTGATCATTAACCCCAGTAGCCAGAGGGAGCCCCTGCCTTGGCTGGGCTGGCGACATGCTGGGGCTGCAGCAAAGCTGCACAGGGTTTATATTCTGATTGGAGAGTAAGCTTTTAATTTTTCAGAATTTTAAATGACCGGATGGCATTTAGAAACAAAAAGGATAAATGTATGCTGACCTCTGTGACTGCTCTTAAAATCCTGCCCAAAATCCTGTCTTTAAAAACAAAAAAAAATTCCAATATAACTGTACAAGGTAAACCATTCTGACATTGCTGTCTTGCAGCCCATGCCCTCCTGCTCAGAGCATTGCCTGGGGGTCCCAAGATGAAGGAAATCTGGGACAAATCCAGAATATCCTTGACCTGACTGCATCTTCTTTCCCTTGGTCAGGAGGTGGGCCTAGATAGGTCACTAATTTTTTATTGGTATTTTCTTGCACCATTCTTTTACCATTTTCTCTACTATTTGAATTTATCTTGAAAGCAGAATTTTAATGAGAATTCCTTTCAGTGAAGAACTGGAGTTGATGCTTAACCAGGTGAATGCTCCAATTTGAGGACAATTAAATGAAGATTAAAAGCTTTGAATAATAAAACTTTCAGACCTTAAGTAACAGGATTTAGTTTGTTTTTCTTTCTGTTTGGAAATAATCCATCAAAAGTCCATTGTTCCCCTTGGTGAGAAAATAGTTAGAATGTTTAATGGCACTTACTGTACTTTGGATTTGTACTTTTGTGTTTTCAGAAAGTCTCTTCCTGAAGATGCAGGGAGGTATTTCAATGTAGAGACAGGAATCCTGGAGGTTCCAGTGACAATCCTCATCGTGGACAAGGTCAGGGATTGATTTTTGTGATGCTGATTATCAGACTGACAGTTTATGTAAATTATTTTAGTGAATGTTAACTTAAAGGTACCTAATTTTAGATTAGTTCTTTACTAATTGGGGCTCTGTGATATTAGTAAAATTTGCTTTAAGTTTATGTAAATTATTTTGTGAATGTTCACTTAAAGGTACCTAATTTTAGATTAGTTCTTTACTATTTGGGGCTCTGTGATATTAGTTGGGGCTCTGTGATATTAGTAAAAGATGCTTAAAGTGCTAATACAGATTTGATGTTTTTTTCTTGTCTCATGTTTGCAGTACAGGAAGTTAAATCCTTTCTCAGTGCTGATATAATTTTTTAAATTATTATTTTGATATCATATTACTGTCAAGGAACAGAGTAACTTTTTCTTGCACTTTTCCTATTGGAGGACATTTCATTTAAATCCTGTCCTTACAACCCACAGATAGAGGTGTTAATCCTGTGCTTTTGCATTTGTTTCAGGCTAAAAAAGTTAATTTTACTGTCCATGCCATTGTTACTACTTCTGATTTGGAAATCAGCCCAGAACAGATCAACTTTGGATACTGCACGATCTATGAAGCTGTGCAAGCAAACGTCATCCTAACAAACAAATCCATCTTGCCCCAGGAGTTTGGATTTGTGGGACTGCCAGAGGTACGGATTTACCCACAGGCAAAAGAGTACACCTCCTCTGCTGTCAAAGATTTCAGTGTCATGGGAACATTTTCAGTGTGAGTGTAAATAAATCATGACTGGTTCTTGAAGCCCCATGGGAGTCCTGCTCCCTGTGGACTTCTGTCCTGGCGTGTGAGAATCTCCCTGGGTGACACCCTCTGCATTGGCAAAGCAATGCAAATCCCTGGGAGGAGATTTTCCTGTTCCTGATCTTCTCCTATCAGAATTCCTGGGTTTTTACACCAAGAGATCTCCTAAAAGAACACCTAGGGCACTTTTACCATTATATAAAACAGGCTTGGGGCTGTGGCCTAAGGTAAGAAATGTGCTCACTTTGCACCAAGTGCCCAAAGGCTTTGTCTTTAAAGTGCTCCTTGGGAACCATCCCAATCCATGCCTGTGCACTTTCTGAGTCACTAGAAGTTGATGTGAAAGCACAAATTTAAGCACAGGACCTGCTGGGTTCATGTGGGCTGGGTCTCCTGAATAATTTTTTGGACAAAGTTGGTTCTTCAAGCTCCATAATAGCAGTATGAAATGGCTGGCATGTTGACATCAGAGCTGGAGGAACCTGGCAGTTAATTAGGCATTGTCCTGTTCTCTGCTGTCTTAGAGATTAAAATCAAGGAGTACCTAAAATAAATTGTTAACTTCAGCTTCATGGAAGCTGTGCTTCCCAGCATTGTTTCCTGAGGAGCTTGAAGAGTGATGGGAAGACTTTCTTGACTCATCTTTAACTCGAGCACAAACCACTGCACAGCTGTGGATGTGGAACTGCTCCTGTCCCTGTGGTGTCACTGCCTCAGACATGAATCAGCTCTCAAAGAAATGGGGCAGATGCTGAGATTTTTACCATATTACATTCAGTTTTATGTGAGAGTAAACGAACATTAGAAAAAGGTGATTTCCACAGATGGGAAGAAGCTGGGGAAAGGATTCTCCTGAAATCTGAGTTAATTAATGTAATGCCTTTTGAGTTACTTTGAGATGAGAAGTCTGCCCCTCAGACTCTGGACATTGACTCAGACAAAAACTTCTCCCTGGAAGGTTTCTCTTTTCCTGACGGTTCCACATTTAATAACAATTTTTTAAAATCTTGCCAGTAATGTCTTATTTTATATTATTAATAAACTGATAATTTAACTAATAATTTCTTATCCTGCCATTTTCCAGTTTGTTGAAGTTCAGCCCAACAATGGATTTGGAATTATTCTTCCCCTGGAAAGCCTGACACTGGACATAATCTTTAAAGCCACCAAGGCAAAAGAGTACAGCTTTGAACTCTCCTGCAGGACAGAGATCAACAGGTATGTTAATGCATGGACAGCTGGGAAGCTAAAATCTGAATGCCACTGTTAAGTGGCTCCTACTGTTAATCCAGTTCAGAAATTGAATCCCTGCCTGCCTTGGGGAGGTGAGGCTGGGATAAGGTGAGGCTGAGACAGGTGGGAATTCTCCAGGTGCAAGAGTTGATCAGTGTCTGTTGGTTTCATCCTAAGTTTTCACATCTGTCTTTGCTGAGATGACTTTTTCCACCCCTCCTCAAGTTTATCCTTGTCCCACACCCAAGTTACAGCCCCTCAACCTGCAGTGCTCTGCTGCTTTTTCAGCACAATTACTGAAGGAATTGTTTTTTGTAAAAATGCTTTACTCATTAAGCCAATGCTACTGCAATAATGATGGCATAAACTTTGATTTGACTGTATGTATTTCCAGAAGTTCACAGAGGAAGAATTCAAGCAGGGACTCTGGCCAATTGTGCCTTAAAAATAGATAGTATTATTGTTCATCTTTAGGCAAAATTCCCATTGCAAGCTTGAAATTCTGCTTAAATAGGGACTACAGGATTAGCTCCCTATTTTCCGGGCTGATTAAGACACTATTTTATGCTGAGACAATTTATCATGTGTTTATTTTTAGACAATTCAAGCTGTCATGCAAAGCAGTTGGAGTCCACCCACCTCTTGAATTGTCTCATTCCTTGGTTCAGTTTGCTGCTACAGTCCTGAACTCTGCGTCTTCAGCCACCCTGAATGTGCTTAATTCCCACGTGGACAGGAACCCCCTCACTCACCCTGTCCCACGGATTGGCAGTGGGAACCCTGTCCCAGTTGGCCCCACTTGCTTTGAATTCCATGTGCCCCAAGACTGTCCTGTGACCATTACACCTTCTGTGGGAACTGTGCTGCCTGGGCAGGTAAATTCACTTTAAATGTAGGGTGTTCTGCCAAATCTTTGATCATCTGTATGCTTAGAAAGGCTGTTACTTGTAAACAAAGCTCAAAACATCAACTGTTGTTAAAATAGCTGGAATATTTTGTATTGTTTGAAAGAATGTTTTAAATCAGACAGGAGGGTTAAGCACCGAATCTGGCTAATGCCTTATGGGAGTGCTCTGTCCCCAGTGTTGTCACTGTGATTGATGTGAAGAATGTTTAAATATCAAAAGTATTAGCCATGTAAAGCCAAGCCATTGTAACATCCTGGACTTCCAAAAAAGCTGCAAGTGCCCTTATCCTGTGATTCCCTCAGAGCAGAAGTGCACTGGATGTGTGAATTGTGTGCTGCTCTGTGTGTGCTCCTGTTGAGCTCTGTAGGTGTCACATGTGTCTGAGGGCTGAGCTCTGCCCTCACTCCTCTATGTGCTCTCACATTCCCAGAAAAGCTCCATCCGAGTATCCTTCAGCCCGGTGCTGTCAGATCAGCAAATCAGGGAGGAGGCAGCATGGAGGCTCAGCACAGCAGCTGTGCCAGAGGCAGGAGCACAAGTAAGGAATGCTAAGAACAGCACATGCTGTTGGTCTGTCACTTCCAGATATTTGTTTCTCTGGATGGTATTTTTATCATAAAATTATTTGCATATTAATGAAGCCCAAGCTTGTGGTCTATGCAGGACCTGCCTATAAAGAATGATAGTGTGACTGTGCACTCAGTGTGTGGCCTGTTCACTGAGCAATAATTTAATTTCATGCTCACAATTTCCAAAGTGTCCTTAGAGGGTTTTATTGCAAATTCCAGCTGAAATACTCTTTACGAAAAAGAAAAAGAAACTTCTACACTTCCTGAAGATTGACAGCATCCATTGACTTTATATGCGACCCTTAGGTCAGTTAATTTTGTGAGCACCTGTGATTGTCTTTGATTATGAGATAAACACGTAAAATTCCCATGAGATACAGACTTCTATTCATCTGCTCCAAGAGGAGACCTCTTCTTCTAAGAGGGGGTAAAATATGTCCATTTCAACCTAATTTTTAAATTTTACAGTGTTGGAAATATGTCTGTAAGAGCCACTGTGTCTGTGGGCTGTCACTATCATCCCATTGTCCCTTGTCCCCTGCTCTGTGTCACCTCTTAGCTCTGTGTTCTTGGGCCAGGGCTGTGTCTTTGCTCACTCCTGTCTTGGTCAGATTTCCAGAAGTCCCCCTCAGTCTCCAATCGGCAAAAAGAGGAAAGATTCAAAGAAAGAGCGAAAAAAATCAAGCGTTTTCATTCCCAGAGGAAAGGCTGGAAGCAGGAAATGCCTGGCTGCTGTAAATAGCCCTAAAGAGCCAGAACCTGAAGAGTTAAAGCCCAAGTAAGTAAACAGAAGCATCTTGTACTACACAGACAACATTCTCTTTAGAAGTAGTTTAATAAATCTACTAAAACTGTAGGTAGACAAGACAGCAAACTGGAGAGGGAACGGCTTCAGCTGTGTTGCAGAGGCTGTTTCCAAAATTAGTGCTGCTTGTGAGCCACACAGCTGTACCCTCTCATGTGAGGCATAGAATCCCTTTATGCATCAGAAGGATTGAAGACTTCAAAGAATCTGTCAGGGAGCAGGAGCTGGAGCTGTGTGGGGGATGGGGCTGAGCCAATACAGGGTTTATGGAAAGGGCAACTGCAAAGCTCAACTTGGGGACCAACCAAAACTACTCAAAGAAACCTTTTCTGAACAGATCTATCAGAACCAGATGATGGCCCAAATCCATGCCAGGGAGTAATTTCTATTTTTAATTTGAGGGCTTACATAGTCCAGCAATTTAGTCATGGTCAGTATCAGTGCTGGAAGTGAAATACTGCTGAGAAATGTGCATTTGAAGCAGTTCCTGTGCAGTGTGAGAACCTCAGGGAGAGTCAACATCAATAGCATTGCTGCCTGGAGGCTGGGAGACTCACATGCAAAATCTGATATTTGAGGGTCCTTGTAGACCAGGTAATTCAACTTCTCAGTTGAATTCTGCCCAGTCTTAGTAATTTGCAAGTATTTAGAAGTAAATACATACTGAAGCACCAGGCATTTGGCTGTACTGGATGTTTTGATATTTTTTATTAAAATCCCATGTCCATTGCAACCCATTAATTATAATTTTTAAGCACTTTTAACAGAGATCATAAAAATAAAATTCCTATTTTAGAAGTATTGCATACATATTGCATTAGAGGAGTGTGATCATGTGTGTTTACATGTCATTGAAATGACCTAGAAGTACTGGAAGACACTGAAATACCTGATGTATTCAACCAAAGCAAATTGGATTGAGGTTTTTGTAATCTTTAGTGTTAACATCTGTTATATGGGTTCTTAATTTTTATTCTCTTTTGGCAACAAAAGCCAACCACTTTGTAAGGTGGGTCCACTACTGACAGTCATTTAGTTAGGTATGACTAAGAAACAATAATCACAAATAGCTCAGCAGATATTTATTTGTTGTTTTTCTTGCTTTCTCACTCACTAAGATAATTCTTATTCCTGGATTCTCTAGTTCGGATGCTTATAGTGCAGCCCAGTCTTCCCTGACAAAGAGTTTCAGAGGGAGTTTTAACAAATACATCATCCCATGCTTTGTTGCAAGTGGCCACGCCACTGGAGAGGAGGGCCCTGGGAACTTAACCTGCAGGTGGGTGCAGTTGGATAACCCAAAGATGTGAGGGGGAAAGGGTGGGCTTGCTAATTTATTCATTTGGGGGAGAAATTTGTTTTCTGATCCTAATTACTTCACAGCTCAGTGGTAAGAAACTCAAGCTCCCAGCCCACCAGTTGGATAAGAATCAAACATGAATATCAAAGCAGCTGAAGGAATAATTATGTGAAAACTTTCAGGCAGCTGTAGCTCATCTCTGCTCAGGCACAGACAGTCAGTGACCAAGCCCTGTGCTGTCACACCACTGCAGTGATATTGTCGTGGTTTTAAACCAATAACTAAGAAAATTACTTACTTCTTGCTATGAGATATGGATTAGAACAAGAGCAAAACAGGCATACAACTTGAAAGGGAAAAAAAAGAAAGTTTATTGACAAACCACAATAATAAGAACACCAGAATAAACTTCCAGAAAAACCTTTCCATCCCCTATCTACCCACTATTCCCTTGTTCACATGACAACAGAGACAAAAACTCTGGAACTTTGATGGTTAAAACAGTCCCAATTCTTGCTAGTCTTTTCACCAGTCTTTATAGAGAAACAGAAGTTTCTTCCTGTTAATTTATGGAGTTTCTCACAAGAAAACTATTTTTGTTATAGTTTTCTATTGCCCTAATGTTAGCTGCTCAGAGCTGCTATTATTAGAGTTCACTCCTCCCATTTTCACATCACTCTGAAGTATGTATGGGCCATGAGTCTAGAGATAGCATTTTTAAGGATAAGTTATTCAAAGGCAAAAAAAGTCTTCTTCATCTGTTTCTGTGAGCTTCACCAGAAAACAGTTCTCTCATTGCCTTTCAAGGCTTCAAATCTCCCAACGGTTTTCTCATTGCCTCTCAAGGCTTTTAATCTCCCAGCACTTCACTATACTATAATTACTCTTTACTCAAATTTACACTTTGAACACTATTCCTCTCTAGATCTTATATCATGAATTAAAGGAGTTCTTTTCAGGACTTCATTGTCCATCTCCATAGTTTTAACAGGGAGATATTTCAGCTTAATTAAAGCATCTTCTTAATTCTCTACTTTTCCTGAAGCTTCTTTTCTTTCCTGTCACTGGTAGCTTATAAAGTCTCTTTTCATGTTGATCTCTCTCTCTCTCTCTCTGGATAAGAAGATTAATCTGCAAGTCTCATCTGGGTAATGAAGGAGTTAAAATCTTGCCCAGGCTTTTGTAGATGGTTCAGAGATCTCTGCCGAACAGGAGCTGGAGCCGTCTGTGATGGAAGGTTCTTCATAGCTGCTCTGGAGCGTGTAGTCGCTGCTCCAGCCCGCTGCAAGTCCAGGGCCTCTCTCTTTCTTCACTGGGCAGTTTCTAGTGAATATAGTTACAGCAAAACCTGCAGCCGAGCCAGAGATCGGCTCGGCCCGGCCTGGCCCGGGGAAAACCTTCCCCAGGCCCCCCCATCTCCCGGCCGGGAGACGGGGCAGGCCCGGCCCCATCCCCGCCCGGCCACATGGCCTGGGCAGGGAACGGGAGGCCTGGAGCTCAGCCACCCTCCACAGCCAGGAAAACAAAGAGAGCCCAGAGAGCTCTGCTTTTACATTTTAAGGTAGGGTTCACAAGTTGATCCCACTTTTCAATGGCCTAAACTGCTGTCAATTCCCAGCAATGACCGATAATTGGTCAGGAGAAAAGACTCCAAGCACTTCCCAGCAACTCCAACTCCCTTAAAGGTAAAGTAACTCCATGACAGACATCATGGAAGGAGCAGATCCCTGGCAATAATTGTTATCTCTGTATGAACCCAGAGCTCTGCCCTTTAATTCTCCAGATCCCTTTGCTCTCTCTCCAGCCCTCACAACACCTTGTACCTGGAGCTGCACTGCCCTGCTGTAGCCCCACCTGTTCTGATCACTTCTGACTCCGGGATCAATGCGGCCAACTTTGGGGACGTTTCTGTAGGTATGGAATTTGAATTCTGGTTTGGAGTGGTTTCCCCCTAACAATGAGTTCTTTCCAGTAGAGTTTTGTATTTTCAAAAGTCAGGATAGAAATTAGCCCTTAGTGGGTGTTTAAGTGGAAAACAAGGAGCCTCTGGCCAGCTGAGGCTCATGAGAGAGCAGACCTGATCCCCAACCATGGACCTGAAAGCTCCAGAAGTGACTGGCCCAATCTGAAAGCATTTTGGTGAGCTTTGAGTAGTGCCTTAGCCATAGGCCTGGGATGAGTGTCTGGCCCAGGCAGGAGCAGGAGTAAGGGGGAGGAATGGGAGGGCAGGAGTGAGCTTCCTCACTTTGGGAAGTGTTTTCATTCCTTGCAGGCCACAGAATGATGAAAAGAATTACAATAGAAAACATCTCCCCACGGAAGCTGGAAGTATCCTTGATTGGAGCACATGAGCTCAGCCTTCAGCCTCTGCTTAATCAGACTGTCTCTGCAGGAGACACCAGCTCATCTCTCTCTTGAGTTATTGATCTCTCAAAAGCTTATAGATGCTTAGTTCAGACCAAAGACATGTAAACAATATATAGAATCTGTTCTCATGTCTTTTTTCTCAATCTTTATGAACTTTTTTCCTTGAGTTGCACTGTTTTAGCTGGGATTCTCAGTTCTGAATCCCAGTGGCCCTTTCCTGTTGGTCAGAGCTGTTGGAACGCTTGAGCCAGGTGAAAAGAAACCCCTCATCATATCTTTTTGTCCAAGTGAGGATAAATGGGTGAGTAAAAGATACAACAGCAGTGGGGGAAAGGAGAGATGTGAGGGGTGTGTAACACACACGTGTTACCAACAGGAAGAACTTCTGTTCCCTGTCCCAACATTTGGATCTTGTCTCAGTTGTTTGGGAGAGGTCAGCTGGAGGGTTGGGGGTTCCCTCAGCAGATGGACTAACTCAGGCACCCTCTTGGGCAGTTCTTGGAAACTCTGGACATCCAGGTGGGAAAGACCAACCTCACCCTCCGCCTCTCCGGGCATGGGGTGGTGCCAAGCACTGAGTGCTCTGTGGGAGAGGTGCTGGACATGGGATACATCATGGCCAGGGACACGGTGACTGCCACAGTCAAGGTAAGTTCTCTGTGCTGAACTGCAAAGCAGGAGTTCTTGTGAGGAGGAGGACAACATAAACGGTCTCCTTTTGGATTTCGTCCAATGTGTGTCAATACCCAAAGTCCAGTATTTGATGGGGAGTGGGGGTTGGTGTGACACGTTATGGGCAGCACTGATTGTGCCTCTGGTGGCATGTGGGGAGAAAGAGCTGCACTAATGTGGTAAAATTAATTCAGCCACTTTGCAAACTATGGATCTTAAAGGCCTGAGAATCAATTTCCTTAATGCAAATACTGTTATGTGAATGAATGTCCCCAGATAGAGAACACTTCCAACCTGACCCTGCTGTTCTCTGTACAACTGGAGTCGCTCTCACCAACATGGGACAGAGACAGGCAGAAAATTCCATCCTTTCTTACATCTTCTATACAGAGAAGAGAGATTGTTGGTAAACTTTCTTTTATTCTTTCCTCTTTTTCCTCTGCTAAATATTCAGGAGGTGTAAAGCAGCATCACTGTGTCCTCTTAGATCCACTCAACTGTCAGACCTGGGGCATCACAACCCTGAAGTTAAAGATCTCATTTTGCTCCCCACTAGGAGCTGTAGTAATTCTTTCAATATGGGGAGCTGTAAATTTATACAGCCTGAGCAAATACCCACAAGTGAGGAAATATTAGTCCTTAAATCTAAATAAATCCACACAGTAATTGCATATTAAAGATTAGATTTAAAGATGTCCATCTCTGTACAAACACATTAGAATATAGAAAGAGTTGGTGATGCTGTTTCAGTTCCTCTGGAGATGAATGCATCGAACTGATAGATGGATTTATCTGGTGTTCCTAACACCCTGTTTTGCTGCAAAGCCATGTATCAGCTCTTATTTATTTGCTGTTCCAACAAAAATTAAATGGGTTTAAAACTTATGAAAAGTAAAACAGAGCTATCCTCCTTTCTTATCTGTATCCTCATTTTTATTTACTAGGAACACAGAACTATAATGGCTCCAGTGTGTTCAGTGTCTCTCCAACAGAAGGAAAAATTGAGGCTGGGAAGACCCAGGATTTTTTGGTTACTTTTAGTCCTGATCATGAAAGTCTCTACTACTCTGACTGTCTTAAGGTTCTGCTCTTTGGGAAGGTGAGACAATCAGGATCATGAAAACAGTCTAAATGCTGGATGAACTGATGTAGGGAGGAAAGGGCACATTTGGGGCCCTCTGACATTTTTCAGGTTTAGATATTAAGTTATTAATTGATAAAAATAGTGATGTGGGGTCTCAGTTATTAATTGATAAAAATAGTGATGTGGGGTCCATCCCTGTCCTCTCTCAGGGCATGGTCAGGAGGGGACAGGAGATGAGCACAGCTCCCAGGGGCTCCTGCAGGGAGTATTTAATGGCAGAGCAAAGGGGAGAGGGGAGCTCCACCTGCCCAGTACAGCCCAACAGGAGCAGGAGCACCAGGGAGCTGCCCTTGCAACCACTCAGTGCCACGTTCCATCTGTGGAGCTGCTCTGGGATGCTGTGGCCGGATGCACAGGTGGCCTCACCATGGGCAGCCCTGGGCCCCTGCCAGGACATCAAAAATTAGTGCAGAGTGACCACTAATGCCCAGCAACAGCACTGCAAGCGGGCTGGGGCTGAGCGGGAGCTGCTGCTGTCCTTGCAAGCTTTGGATTGCAGTTAGGAATGCACAGCAGGATAAGCTGAAGATGAATGGGCACTTGACCCAAGTTTGGCAACAGAAAATTTTTGCTTCTTTTAGTGACCTTTGTATAAATCGTTTTACCAATGCCCTCCTGAGACACATTTGCCAGGTTGTTTAAAATAGAAGTGCCAAGGGCACCAGTGCAAGCCCAGGGGCAAATGCATTTAGGGCCCAGGATCATTGGGATCTTTCACGTGGGAGGTGATTTCACAATTTCCTGGGCCAGGTGCCAGCATCGTTCAGGTGATCTGAGCTGTCACCTGCATCCAGGACTTTTTGTCTCACCCAGCAAACAGCCCACAAGATCCACCTGAAGGGTGCAGCCCGGGATCACCTCATGTTTGTGGAGGGGGGAGTGCCCCTGGATGTACCCATGGAGTCCTTGGCTGTGACCTCACCTGTGGCACCACAGGAAGGAGGTAAAGTGCCACCACTGTTTATTATGGAACAGGGAGGGATCAGGCATGGGAATGTTCCTCTTCCTTTAAGAAAAAAGGAAATTAAAGACAATTTTTCCAGAATCTGAAAAAATAAGCATTATGTTACAGCATATATTCATAATGCACAGAAAAACCCACAAAACTTTCTCTTAAGGAAAGTTTTTATCTTCATTTTAATGCAGTTCTCTCTTAATGATCATCTTCCACTTCTGCAGCTTCCCTGAAAAATTTATTATAATGTAATACTACTATGAAGAATTAGATGCATTTGCTTTCTGCTACTTCTCTGAGGTGTATTGAATGTTTAAGAAATTATTTCATATATAATCACATATCCTGGATTGTCCTGTTTGTCCTGTTATGAAACTTCCAGGGGTTTGAAGTTACTCTTCCTTAATTTCTTGGGACGGGATCTGTGTTAAGAGACAGGATGCAAACAGCTCCTGACTTCTGAGTTTTAAATAATTCTAAGCACACACACATAAGCTGGAATAAAGTACACAGAGGTGTGTGCCATGGGCTAGAAACTGAGCCTGGAACTTGATAAACATGTAACAGTTGCAGTTTGCAATTACAAATTATCCAAACCCTCTTTTTCCTTAATTCCTCACAACTCTGTAAAAGGATCTCTTTATCTCTGCCAGCTCCTGAGTTTGACACATCACTTTGTTTTGAACCATCATGGTGCAATTTCTGTTGGCTCCAAACTGCCAAAGGCAGTTTTGACTGTCTCAAAGTTGACCTGGTTGCTGTTTGTTTAGGGCCACAAGAAGCAGTGAGGTCCCTTCTCCTGCTCCTGGAGTACATGGAGGGCTCAGCAGAGCCAGCCAGGGCAGAGATCACCATCGGCACCATGCAAAGTCCTCTGCTGGCAGCCAAGAAGGTGAGGGAAATAAAACCTGCAGGTTTGTGCCAGGTGCTGTATGGGATCCTGACACTGTGCAGAGGTCTGCTCATTCCTTCAGTCCAAAATTCACAAATTCATAAATTAAAAAGAGCAGCTTTCAGAGTTTCTGGTAAATTTTACATTATAAAAGCATCAGTGTTTGAAAACATTATTTCTTAGGGGCTAATATAAGGAATTAACATTATCATACTAAGTCAGCAACAACCTTAATTCATGAGTTTGCTTCCTCAGTTCAGGAATACAGACTTTTGAGCCCAGAACTGATTTACAGTTCCCATCCTGGTATTTTAATGGAGTATTGCGTGATGAGGTGACACAATGAACATCCCAAGTGGATAGCTGGTGTTTTGTGGGGCAGTTCGGGCAGGGGCAGGGCAGCGGCCCAGGTGTGACTGTGCCTTCTGTCCGTGTCAGGCCGTGGAGTTCAGCCTGGACAACGGCCCGGAGCTACAGCAGGCGGGGTTCACGCTGGACGGCACGAGGGGAGCCCTGGAGCGCGGGCAGCTGCAGCATATCAGCGTCTCGTGGATGCCACCTGCCGACCTGCAGGTGAGGCACGGCCCGGCGCTGGCACCGGGCTCCTGGCGGGGTCACACCGGGCTCCTGGAGGGGTGTCACACCAGGCTCTTGGCGGGTGTCACACCGGGCTCCTGGAGGGGTCACACAGGGCTCCTGGTGGGTGTCACACAGGGCTCCTGGAGGGATGTGACACACAGTTCCCGTTGGGGTGTTATCCAAGGCTCCTGTCAGGATGTGACACCAAGGTCCTGCTGGAGTATCACACAGGGCTCCTGTCAGGGTGTGGCCCAAAGATCCTGCTGGGAGTGTGACACAAAAGTCCCATTGGGATGTGACCCACAGTTCCTATTGGGGTGTCACCCACAGTTGGGGTGTCACCCAGAGCTCATATTGGATTGTCACACAAAGTTCCTGTGACCCACAGCTCCTGTTGAGGTGTGACCCACAGCTGCTGCTGGGTGTGGGCAGCACAGGTGACTCAGACACAGCCAGGTGACAGCTCCTGTGTGGTCCCTGAAGGAGCAGGAGTGGTACAAATCCCCTTTTGGGAACAGAAGCTGGAACAATGAGATGATCTGGAGCCTCGCTGCCTCCCCAGGGCTGTGCTTGGTTGTGTGTCCCGGCAAGGACAGGGGTGAGCCACTTGTATCCCAGAGGAATCCCTTCCTGCAGGGAAGTCCAAGGGCCAAAGTGCTGCTGCTGTTAACAGGGTCTGGTGCCCTGAGTGAGCTCTGTAGAGCCCTGGGACAGAACTGCTGCAGCCTTGCCAGCGCAGACCTGACTTTACATGGATCACTCTGCAACACATTTCTTTGCCATGGGCTGCCTTTCCTTTGACACATTCCAGAAAGTCAGTCAGTCACATTCCTGGGGTCTTTGGACTTTAGGTGCCCCATTTCCCTGGCTACTTCTGCCTTGTATCATAGAGGTTGGATATGATGTCTCAACAACTCCATGAGGCTGTGATTGCCCTTCCTTATTCACCTCCTTGGGCATTCATGGAGACTGAAGACATTGACTTCCTGTGTGTGAGATGGCAGAATGAGTAGCTGGTTCCAAAATTAATAATATTTCTGCCACCACACACAGAAAGAGGCAGCAGAGTTTCTGGCAGGATGTATCCAGTCCACATCATGCCTCTTGGTAACCCCTAGGTCTTGTACAACACTGAGCATTTACTGGGGGCTGACAGGATCTGTTTCCTTCCAGCCCTCTCTGGGAGCTCTGAGGTTGCTGCTGTGCCCAGTTGACATAGCTGTGATGTGGAGACAGTCTCTGTGGCACTCTGGGTACAGAATTCTGAGTCACTATCATACCTCACTTCCTGCAGCATGAGCATCACTTGGGGACAGGAAGGAGCCAGCACAGTGGCTGTAACCTGTCACCTCTAGCTATAACTGGTACCTTGAAAACTGAGATGTGAAACACAGATTTTAGGAGGTGATCAGCTTATGTCTCCTATGTCCAAAACACCAGGCTGGTTTTCTGTGTGGTTCTTCCTGCAGACCAGTGACGCCCCACTTGTGTCAGCCCTCCTTACTGTAAAAGGTGACATTACAGAATCCTACCGAGTCCTGTTCATGGCAAGAATTGTGTCTGCACCTGCTCCCATTGAATGAGGGATCCAGGCCAAATGGAAAAGAAGATGGAGGCTACATTACTGTGAGATCCCTGGAACTCTGGTGAAACATGGGAAGATTTTGAGATTGTTGCAAATAAGTGAGAGCAGCAGGGACGTGGGAAGGAAGGGCCATGTAATATTTCTGCTCTGTTTCATCCAAAGTTCTCTGTAAACTCTGGTGCCAGTAGCTTCATTTTCCAGCTGACTCTGTGACAATAATCTTGTGTTAGAAGAAAGAATTACTGAGGGCCCCAAGAAGCTACACCTGCTGTTAATCCCATGTCTCTCAAAGGTGGGCAAAGGAAGAATATCTGGTTTACATCCACATAGATGAGTTTCTATCTTTTTCCAATTTCAGATGCTTTTTGTAGGATTTGTAAAAGCCTTGACTTTTTCTCTTTTAAGACAAGAATAAAGTTTCTTATTCAAGCCTCCTCCAAATCATTTGGGCAGTCACTTTTACAATGTACAGTCAAATCTGCCTGGAAACACGTGGTCAAGGGAGAATATCCTTGTGCTGTTCCCTGGATATGGCCAGGCATTTGCCAGAGATCTTGGCTGTCCAGGAACTTTGTATTTCTATATTTGCCTTCTGCTGAATTCTAGCTGAGAGCAATTCTGCTGAATTCCAGCTGCTATTCTGGAGAAGCCAAGAATGCCCTGCAGGTGGAACCTCTGTCAAGAAGCAGCAGCTGGTTCAGGGCAAGTGCAGAGCTGGAGAATGGAGGGAGCAGGAAGGCAGCAGCCATTAGACACAGGACTATCCTGTACATCTCGTATCACACTCTTTCCTGAGTCACAGCCAGTCTGTGGCAAAGTTCCCTCCCCACCACCACTCAGAGGGCATGTTGCCCTTTGGCCCCTCTAGCTGTTAAATCCCTGATTCAGATGATGCAATCAGAAAATATAAACATTATTTGTAAATATCCCCGTGCTAACGAGCTAGGAACTTCAGGAAGAAGCAGGGAAGCAATTGTCACAAGGAACATTTTAACCAAGCTTCCCATTTGACAGAGGAGGTTTGTAGGAGTGAAGAGGTGTATCCTTGTTTTTCCAGCCAGTGTTCAATCCATCGAGATGTGTTTTCATTTAATGATGGACCGAGTGCCTATGGAGTCACTTAATTCTTCAGTCTAAAGACTGCAGATGCTGAAGCAATCCCAGTGCCCTGGGGTGGGGAGGAGCTGGGGGTGGCAGTGCCAGCCAGAGACAATTCTGCCTTCCAGAGGCACTGGGTGTTGCTGCTGGCACATCTGGGCAGGTGCCTGGAGCTGGGCACAATGGGCTTTGTGTGCTGGCTCTCCTGCAGCCCCAAAAGGGTGAGTATGAGGTGCCCCCTGCCCAGGGAGGCAAAGATTTAGTTTCAGATAAGCATTGTTAAAGTGAGAGGTGTGGCTTTAAAGCCCAGGAAGTGTGAATTCTGTTCCTCTGCCTCAGGAGATGGGCCCTATGAGACCAGGAAAAATGCCACCCCAGACCCCTCGTGGGGTTGCAGTCCAGGGTGCTCTGTTTGAGCCCCTGGGGTTTCTCCCTTGCTCTGTCCCTATTAGTCCCCAACCTTAAACCTCACCCTGGGTCTGTCCCACAAAACCCATCACCCTGCCTCTGTTCAGGGCTCTCTGTCTCTGGATCTAAGTTGAGCTTGTTCCTGTGCTGAATAAATGGTTTCCTGAGCAGAAGCCCATCTCGCTGGGGTCTCATGTTGGTCACTGGTAACTGTAGCCTCCCTGGACATGATCCTACAGCTGCGGAATGCAGCACACAGGTCCCTGGACACAAATGGTGGCCCTTTTCCAGAGGGAAAAAAACTCAGTCCCCCAGGTTCCTGATGTCAGATTGTCAGAGGTCTTTGGCACTCCAAGGGCAGCTTGAGTTCTTGGTGGGGGAAGCCTGGGTCTCGGACGAATCTTGCTCCCTTCCTAATTTTTGGAGGTAGAAGCCCGCTCACAGCCACAGGCCTCTGGACACAAATGGAAGCCCTCTTCCAGGGAAAACAAAACTCACCCTCCCAGGTTCCTGATGTCAGTTTGTCGAGGGCATTTGGCACTCCAAAGGCAGCCCAAGTTTTATGTGGGGGCAGCTTGGGCCTTGGAGGAATCCTGCTCTGTTTGCAATTTTTGGAGGCAGAAGCCTGCTCGCAGCCAGCAGGCTCCTTGACAGGAACAGCGGCCCTTTACCATGTTAAACAAAACTCACCCCCCCCAGGTTCCTGATGGCAGTTTGTCAGAGGCATTTGGCACTCCAAGGGCAGCCCAGGTTCTAGGTGGGGGTGGCCTGGGTCCAGGAGGAAACCTCCGTTTGTAATTTTTGGAGGCAGAAACCCACTCATGCCCACTGGACCATGGACACAAACTGCGGCCCTTTTCCATGGGGAAAAAACCTCACCCTCCCCAGGTTCCTTATGTCAGTTTTCCAGAGGCATTTGACACTCCAAGGACAGCCCAAATTCTAGGTGGTGGCAGCTTTAGTCCAGGAGGAATCCGGCTCCATTCATAATTTTTGGAGGCAGAAGCCCACTCACGACCACTGGTGCCTGGACACAAACTGCAACCCTTTTCCAGGGGCAAGTAAACTCATCCCTCAGGTTCCTGGCCTCAGCCTGTCAGAGGCATTTGTTCCTCCAAGGGCCACCTGAGTGGGGTCGCTTGGGTATCGCCGGAGCTTATCTGTCACTATCACTTCGGCCTTCGCCAGGAGTGGGTCACGCCCCAGGAGCAGGATGACCCGATATGCGACTAGAGCACTTGCTCTATGACTTTTTGGCTGTCAGTCTGCAGTCTGAGGAGGCAAGGACGAGAGGGAGGCCTTTTGCATGGGATAATAGAGGATTTATTGTTCTGAGGAATCTTGGGGGCAAAAGAAAATGGAAGGGTGCAACAGCTGAAATAGGGAGGCGGTTCAAAAGGAGGGTACAAAGCATCAGCTAATCAGAGATGTCCTGGGGAGGGTAAAAGGCAGGGTTCACAAAATCATTGTCCAGTGAAGGAAGTAGGGGGCAAAGTCGGGTCACAGGGACTAATCAAGCATCGAAGTTTAGGGGATTTCCAAAGTGGAATTCCAAGCATGAGGTGGGCTTAAGACAGATTGACAGGAGACTCAGGGTAGATTGACAACATGGGGTAGAAGGGTCTCATTTGGACTAAACCATCAACTTACATAATAACAGAACATACCATTAACAAGAAACACACTGCAACACTTGGGCCTGGGAGGAATCCTACTCTCTTTGCAATTTTCAGAGGCAGTAGCCCACTCCCAGCCGCGGGCCCCCTCGGAATGAACCATGTTTCTTTTCCATGTTAAAAAATCCTCAGTCCCCAAGCTCCTGATGTCAGATTGTCAGAGGCATTTGGCACTCCAAGGGCAGCCTGAGTTTTGTGTAGTGGCAGCTTGGGTCAGGGAGGAATCTTCCTCTGTTCATAGTTTTCAGAGGCAGAAACCCAGTTGCGGCCACAGGCCCCTGGATACAAACAGCAGCCCTCTCCCATGTTAAACAAAACACACCCCCCAGGGTTGATGATGTCAGTTTGTCAGAGACATTGGCATTCCAAGGGCAGCCCAAGTTCTTGGTGAGCGTGGCTTGGGTCCAGGAGGAATCCTGCTGCGTTCATAATTTTCAGAGGCAGAAGCTTACTTGCATCTACAGGCCCCTTGACACAAACGGTGACCCTTTTTCAGGGGAAAGAGAACTCACTCCCCCAGGTTCCTGATGTCAGCCTGTCAGTGTCATTTGACACTCCAAGGGCAGCCTGAGTTCTAAGTGGGGACAGCTCCAGTCTTGGAGGAATCTTGCTCCATTCGTAATTCTTGAGGCAGAAGCACTCTCATGACCAAGGGCCCCTGGACACAAACAGCTACCCCTTCCCAGGGGAAAGAAAACTCACCACCCCTGGTGCCATAAACCTCCTATCCCCTGCCCCTGAGTACACCCAGCTAGCCCTTATGGATGCTAAATGCAAAAAGCAAGCAGGGAACAAAGCCTGTGTGAAATTAAGTCACACAGGCTTCTCAGTCTGGCCTGAGAAAGCATGAGAAAGAATCCAAAAGAATCCAAATAGTCCTTGGTAAAGGACAAAAATCTTAACAGGTGGTGTTTAGGAAACAGTCAAGGGGTGATGTTCCACTTAACCAATGATGGTGGATGTGTTGCTTTAATGACCAATGAGTTTTACCTCTCAGACCTTCTAGAACATATGTATAAAAGATTAAGAGTAATAAACTTTGCTCTCTTTGACAATGCAGCTAAGAGAGTCAGTGTCATACTTCTTGCCATTCCTAATATAGTGCGACAAGCCTTGAGTCCACCGGGAGAGGAAGGAGATCTGACAAGGATAAGGTAAAAGACAAAGGAAGCTTTTTTCTCTGAGATACAGCCCACAGTTTATTCTCGGAACAAACTCCAGGAAAAAAAAAAGCAGAGATGGAGATGGGAAATTCTAAAGTGGGAGGAAAGGGGAGGGGAACGGCAACCAATGGGAGACAACCAAAGGGGAGGGGTGAGGGGAAGGAACTAACACACCACCAATCCAAGGGGGAGCAACAGGGAAAAAGCACTTTAATGCAAACATAACAACTAGCCTAGTGTACCACCACAGCCAGGTTCCAGACATTGGCTTTTCATAGGTGTTTGCCACTCCAAGAGCAGCCAGAGTTTTAAGTGGGGGCAGCTTGTGTCAGGGAGGAATACAGCTCCGTTCGTAATTTTTAGAGGCAGAAGCCCACTCATGGCCATGGGCCCCTTGACACGAATGGCAGCCCCTTTTCAGGGGAAAAAACCCTCCACCATAGGTTCCTGACATCAGCCTGTCATAGGCATTTGGCACTCCAAGGGCAGCCCGAATTCTCAGTGGGAGCAGGTTAGGTTCCCGAGGAATCCTGCTGCATTTGTAATTTTCGGAGGCAGAAACATGCTTGACACTTGACACAAATGGCGGCTCTTTTTCAGGTTAAACAAAACTCATCCTCGCCCAGGTTCCTGACATCAGCCTTTCATAGGCATTTGGCACTTCAAGAACAGCCTGAATTTTAAGTTGGGGCAGTTTGGGTTCCCGACGGATCCTGCTCCATTAGTAATTTCTGGAGGCAGAAGATGGCTTGCAGCCAAGGACACCTGGACATGAAAGACAGCCCTTTTCCATGTTAAACAAAACTCACCTCCCAGGTTCCTGTCATCAGCCTGTCAGAGGCATTTGGCACTCCAAGGGCAGCCTGAGTTCTAGGTGGTAGCAGCTTGGATCTGGGAGGAATCCTTCTCCATTTGTAATTTTTGGAGGCAGAAGTCTGCTCGCAGCCAAGGGCACCTGGATAAGAATGACAGCACTTGTAATAAGTTGTTATTGTTTGTTAATCAAATTTAATATGATTGTTAAATATAATATGATTGTTGAAGATGTTTTAATAGCTAATACTGTAAAAATGCCTAACCACAAACATCCTGTTGC